CTCGAGCATACATTTTCATCTTTGTGTGACACGCACGACTACTGGTGTTCCTCAAGGCGACGTCATATCTCCTCTACTCTTTGCTGTATTGATGAATTCTATCTTATAATACTTCTTCCTTCCACCTATTGGTCAAGTTTGTAATGCAGTGCTAGCCACCTATTATGACTTAAACAAAATTTTGGAGTGGAGTAAATCGTCAGTCTTTTGAATAAAAGCTACTGGAGGGTCCACGTAACATCGCTTCTCAATGTCTGACGCGCTCGACTTTTATTTTTTCCTATATTAACCTTTCGTAAAGCCACACAAGGACAAGGGATGTGCTGACTCTTAAAAGATTAGGTAGGTGCTCAGTGCCCCACACCATGCAAACCGGCAGAGCAATATTTTTCCCTCCTCGGAACCGTTATGTGAACCCTTGTATAGTTTCTATTCAAGCGACTGATGATTACCACCCAAAAGCCACAGCCGTTTGTTGAAATTTTTTTTGTGGGAGTATTTCACAAGGTGCAAGGTTGCCCCTTCTTATGATAATGTGCCGCGCTCGAGTAAATCCAAAAATTCCCGCTTGGGCCCCCCTTCTATTAGGCTGATTTACATTTACGAATATATCGTTGTACAAAACGTCGGTTGTCGCGTCGCGATGGCATTCTCGAAATTTTTTCGTAGGTACTTTCGCGTCGGCAATTCTGTTTTCGATTAGGATCAATTTTTGAAATCACGCTCTACTCGATTTTATATAGAATATAGTTACATTATATAAAATATATCTTACTTTTAATTACAAAATAAGCCTTACATGTAGGAGTTTATTTTCTGTTACCGGCGGCTTGGACACCTGATTAGAAAATTTTAAAAAAAGCTTCCAACTCGTTCTTTTTTGAAATTGGAGAATAACATTTCTTTCTTGGCTTTTCCTATTATTTTGGAGGCAATTCAAAATTTTATCTGAATTTTATTTTGTTCAACATTTTGAACAAAACAAAATTCAATGGCCCATTGGCAAAAATAAAAATTGTAACGCATCAACTAGGCAAATAATTGTTTAAATACTTACTTATAGAGCTCACTTATGCTCGTACAGAAGAATAGCTGAGAATTTAAATTGTTCTGCTAAGAACGTTTTTAATGCCATTGATCAATATAAAACACATGGAACTGTTGAAAATGTTCTTAGAAAGGCACGGCCAAGAAAAACCTCTCCCAGAGAAGATACGCTAATCGTTCGTGTTGCTAAAAAAGACCCAAGTAAAGGTCCCAACCAAATTAAAAATGATTTTTTTTTGCGTGACGACCCGAGAAACATCTCGTCAAGACTGATACGCCGAAAGATTAGTGGAAGGAAGCTAAATTGTTTGAAACAATCGTTCTAAAGGTTCTTACCAAGCAACACCGAGAGAAGCGATTATTATTCGCAAAAAAATATGTGAATTGGACGGTACGAGAATGGATAAATTCTGATGGTAAGCGCTTTGCTAGACGTCCTGTAAACAATGCTTTTAATTATAAATACACAAGGAGTAAAGTCAAACACGGTGGCAGTAACATTAATATTGGAGGGTGTTTATCCGGATGTGAAGTTGGACCTGTTCGGAAGATTGAAGGTACAATGGATCTATGGCAATACAAAAATAACTTAGAGCACACAATGATTTCCTACTCGGACGATCATTTGCCTGTAACCTGGATCTTTCAGCATGATAATGACGTTAAAAACACACGGCCAATAGTGTCAAATGTTTCCCTTAGCTTAGCGACAGCGTATATCCATTTTAGACTGGCCAGCAAATTTTTCGGATTTAAAGCCGACAGAAAATCTCTGGTATATTGTTAAAAAGAAAGTCTCAAACAAACGTAACATCAATCAAAACGAACTATATGAAGCATTTGTTGAAGCATGGAATTCAATCCCCCCAGAAAAATGTATGACATTGATTGAATCAATGCCCCGTCGCGCGTCGTTGCAGTGCCTTATTGGAAATAAGGGATACGCCACTAAATATTAATTATAACTATTGGTAGGCTGTGGATAGCAGCTATTTCGTAAATAACAATACTAATACTTTAAAAAAAATGTTTTTTATACTTTTATGTTGTTGTTGTTGCTAATTAGTTGACCATTATTGTTCATACATCAAGCGTCTGCGGATGACATGATTAGAAACTTTTATGATATCATGTATAAGTTAATAAATAAGCATGTGGCACAAGTAAATGTTGGTGGTAGACATCAATATCCCTTGTGGTACAGCCCCGCTTTAATTAAAGTTATTAAAGAAAAATCCAAAATTCACAAATATTGGAAACGATTTCGGAACCAAATTGATTATGTTTCATTTTCTGTGCTTAGGGCTAGAGAGAAAGCACTCAAAGCTAGGTGTTATGAGTCATACATTTTGGACTGCCAAGAAAAAATTAAACGTGTGCCTAAAACATTCTGGTCATACGTTAAGTCCCGCAGGAAAAATAACTCCTGCTACCCAAGATCAATGGTTTATAATAGTAATAATCTGTCTAATGAGCAGCAAATCTGTGCAGCCTTTAATGACTTTTTCTACAGAAACTTTGGCACAACTAGCACGTCGAGCCATACAGTACCACCTCTCTCTGAAGCTCAAAATGATCACCTTTACACTTTAGATGTCGATCCGAATATGATACTAAAACTTCTTCAGGGTTTAGATGTCTCTAAGGGTCCTGGCAGTGACATGATTCCGCCAATATTTTTTGTCCGATGTGCGGAATCATTAGTTGCGCCCATAACATTTATCTTCAATAGATGTTTGCGTGAAGGTTTTTTCCCCGATATCTGGAAAACTGCCCACATTGTACCCATACACAAGAAGGGACTTAAGACGTTGGTTGAGAATTATCGGCCAATATCAATTCTTAATGTTCTCAGCAAGCTGTTTGAAAAGGTTGTCCACCATCATGTTTATCCCTTCATTAATCGTGTTATCCCTGAACAGCAACATGGGTTTATAAAGGGCAGGTCGACTAATAGCAATCTAGCAGTGTTTTCGCAAGATGTCCTCGAGAGCGTTGATGGGGGAAACCAGGTCGATACGATCTATACAGATTTTGAGAAGGCGTTCGACCGCGTCGATCATTTAATCCTTCTTCGTAAGCTTCACGAAATTGGGATACGTGGAGACCTGCTAAGGTGGTTTGAGTCCTACCTGCGCAATCGACGTCAAGCGGTAGTTATGGGTGAACTCAGATCTGATTATGTTACTATACCATCCGGTGTACCGCAGGGATCGATAATCGGTCCTCTTCTGTATGTCGCTTACCTCTACGACGTAGGTCAGTGTTTTCGATATGCCAAGTATCTAATGTATGCAGATGATACGAAGATTTATATGTCAATAAAATCTACGTTGGACTGCCTAAAACTTCAGGAGGACCTAGACAGATTATCAACTTATTACGAACAAAATAAAATAAAAATCAATGTGATCAAATGTTTGATAATTACCTTTACGCGCAAAAAAGTTCCTATTGCGTTTGATTATTGTTTGAATAGCACATCTATTACACGAACGTATCTGGTGAAAGATCTCGGTATACTCTTTGATGATAAATTAACTTTTTCTACACACGTAGCAACAATAGTCAACAAAGCTTATAAGAATTTAGGGTTTATTTTGAGGATTGGCAAGCCTTTTACTGATACTCTTTGTTTAAAGATTTTGTACTTTGCATACTGTCGTGGTATTCTTGAATATTGCTGCAATATTTGGAATCCACAATACATTACTTATAAACATGACTTAGAATCGATACAGTCAAAATTTGTTAAGCATCTTAATTACAGAAAGAGAAATGATTGTCCGGACTATAGGGAAGGATGTCGTTTCCATCGTTTGGTCCCTCTTGAGGACAGGCGCACTATGCTCGATATGGCATTTCTCTACGACGTTTGCAATGGGAATATAGACTGCACTGAGCTTGCCTCTTCATTTTTAACACTCTACACACCCACTACCCGTACCAGACATACATCATCTTTCTTTTTCGCAATTCCTACATGTCGCACAAACTATGCACAAAACTCAGTTGTTTTTCGAACGCAAAGTACATACAATAAAGGTTTCACGGCTGTTGACATATTTGCTTGCAGAAGTAAAGCATCTTTTAAAAAAAAACTTTTAGATCTGTTGGTTGATTGGTAATATACAAACAAAAATGAAACACACATGTATACATATATACTCACAAACACACACACACACACACACATATACAATAGCGCGCGCGCATTGCACACATCTCGCCCTTGTTTGGTAGAGGGTTTTCTAAACTATTATGCTATAACTAAAAAATGAAAATCCGTAATTGGCATTAAGATAAACTGTATTGTAAAACCTGTATTATATTAAGAAAATGCTGTGGATTTTGGTCTAGAATTAAAAAAATAAAAATACCTTAAAACTGATTTAAATGTTTGTCCGTAATGTAATATTGAAACTGCACGTGTGTAATGGGATTTATATAGTTTTTTCTAATAAATGATAAATCGTTGAACATATTGTTGTCCCTTTTATTGTTTAATTTCAAAATAAAAACGATTGTGATGAAGTATTTTACACAATGTCAAGGACCGTTGGTAGTGTTTCTAATTATACGACCATCACTCTATATATATTGTCGCGTGTGACCTTCCAGCCTTCGCCGAGTTACCCTTCAACTTTCATGCTCGTCGGCAAGAGCTGCGCACGCATCCCACTCACACACACACACATATATATATATATTTATAGTCGTGTGACGCTCGTGACACATTTCCGTTTCATGTTTTCCCTAGGCTTTTTCTCTAGGCAAATCCTAAGGGGCCGTCACAGTTTCGTTGCCACATGGCCTCCACACCATACCTACCTTCATTGTCAGGATCACGAACCTTCAGTCAACAAAGCAAACGGGTAGCAAATTAGTAAACGAATAACAAAATATATAATCAGAATATAATTTATTTAGTATCAGATTCTTAAAATTAACTTTACAATATTTAAACAAGATCATTTTTAAACATTAATAAACTATGTAAAGCTTGATCACAAAACATTTTCATATTGATATTTCTGCCGAGTCTTGGTGATGTTCACAATCTGAAAGTGTTATTCACTATTAATTGTGTTTATAGTTTAGGTAGATATATTTTACACAAAATAATTGTGATCAAGAAAATCTCGTGCTCAAAAGGTGCTGTACCGAAAATGTATCACGATTTTTTTTTGTGATTGAATACCAAATATTCCATAAACATTAAGCTGTAATTCGCCCTATTCATTGTTACAATAACAATATAAAACCTATATACGTATATATATATGTTTATAAAGCAGCCTATATTTGTAAAAAAATACGAAAGCTTATCGCTAATGTCGTTTATTTTTACCAACTCACTTTCCGCTTTCTTCAGAAATCGTGAAGCCTGGTTTCACTGTAACATTATTTGCTTTCGTAACTAATGGTTCATCAGGTTCAGTTAAATCAAGGAAATTATTGTTCGACTTACTCGACGTGCTCGGCATTAACATTTCTTCAGCAACTAAGGTAGTTTTAAATCTACTACCAGCAACCGAACCATGTGGATTGAGGTTATTCTTCTGTGCGCTACTGTCGCTATATCTTCTGCTACTATTTAATGGATCGTCTTTCTTAAATTTACATTTGGAGTTGTTTTTACTTTGCAAATTCAGTGAGTCCAAATTGTAATAATTCGTCTCCCCCTTAGAACATTTATTAATTTCAGTGTTAGTGTTATAGTTTTTACTACTAGATGGCATATCTTTGTATAGGTTCTCTTTAGCCAGTTGAACATTAAGGCCGTAAAAATCAAGATTGTTGCTTGTGGACGACACTTCGCAATGAGCTGAAGACGGGCCTGCTAAGTTCGGTGGACTGAGGTCATTTTTAATTAGTTTTATTGGAGCGTCGCTGGTATCTACTGATAAAGTCTCCTCGTCATCTTCGCCTTCAGTGCTCTGTAACAAAGATACATTCAATTTACCCTAAAAATATAGCAAGCAAAAAATGTTTTTTTTTTTTTACTTTTTTGGGAGGAGGTGGGCAATGCTTTTTCCATACAGAGGTTCTCGACAGATTCCTTCTTTATTTTTATGACAAAAAAAAACATAAATTATAATTTTACTTATTTAATGCTCCTATGTCTACTTATTTCGATAACTTGTTTTTCAAAGCAAAAATGCAATAAAAAATCACCACTTAAGACGTCTTGTAAGCAGATTCAAGCATTTACAAAAAATAACAAAACGTAGAGGCCTAGTATAACTACAGTATAACTGGTAAAAAATATTTTACTTAGATCTAATTTTCGAGGAGCTAATCGTCGATGGCAAAAGCCTCGAATTTTGAAATTTTTGTTCGAAATATACAGCGGGAGCTGCAGTTATCCCTATCGCACGTTATTCCCCAATGCGAGACAGCAATAGTTTTTCAAATATGTAACTATTTTTCAAATTTCTCCCAGCTCGCGTCCGCTCTTGATATTATTCGGTACGATGCCATGACCCTTTTGGGCTTAGGATAAATGGATAAATACGCCCATGATTGCAGAAATGCTGTAAGTTGAATAAAACGTGGCACTCACAAGCAGGTTGTGGTCGGTGAGTGACCCGGCGGTGGCTTCGTTGCTGTTAAACTCCAACTCGGAGGCCAACGACACCGGCGTCAAATCCCCGCTAATAGATGAACCTATTGATAATAAATAATATAAGTTGTCGTATTGGATTTTTGGTATTGTATAATGGATGTAAATACGTAAACCTCCTTCAATTTGTAATTATTTGAGATACAATCTAAATAGCATCGATAATAATAATAATTTTTATTGACATACACCTTACAGGACATATAATGCAAAATTTATTATATTTAAATCTTATAGGTACTCAATTTTAATGGTGTGCTCAATTTAAGAGCTATCTAGCTTAATAAAATGAAAGTAATTTTATTTCTCTTTGCTTATCGTCCAGATGGCATGCAAACAATTCAGTCAGGTTATATAATGACTTTACTAGTGTGATAACATGGAATTAGTAAAAAATTATTGACAAAGGTATTATCACAATAAGAACTACATTGTATAGATAAACTCACGTGCATGGACGACACGTCGCAACGTGCTCGTGTATGTAACTATTTATATGTAAAAAGCGGCTATATTCATGCATATAAGGTTTGTAAAAAATATATATAATTTATTTATTTTATAATACAATTACTTAAGGTACATTTATAAGTATATATTTAAAATTTTCCTTAAAGTAACAAATGAAATGAAACACTTCTTTGTCAGAGCAGAAACTGGTTATTTTGAGAAAAATACCTTTTAAATAGTTTGTCTTTTTTCATAGACAAAAGTCGAATAAATCTGTGAAGGTAGAATTTAATATTGGATGAACGTTAGTTGTCTGTTGACTATCTATTTTATGTAGGCCTCTGCCTTTTCCATGACATGGCGCTTTCATAGATACCACTCGAATGGAATGGACACGACGAATAAATTACGAATACGAATTAGGTCTGCTTCTTCTAATAATTAAACTTAGATTCCCACGATATCAATCCCTACCCTTGTTTAAATACAAACAATAATCATCTGAGCAGTATATCATCTATTTCAGGGTAGAATCAATTTTGTCAGGATCTGTTGCATTTTATTTTTAGAGATTTGATAAAATTATTCTATAGCATCCTTTGACTCACAATGCATACCTATGGCACAATACATACAAGAGCAGTAGGTAGCGTAACTCAGCCGTTTTCTTGAAATTGATACCTACGCCTGAGTGGAGCGCTAAGGTTGGTACTTACAAAATGTAAAAAATATTTGTGTAGATTTTTATTGTATGTGTATAGTTACTAATTGCCACGTTACGGAATTGAAACAGAGGCAGAGGGCGCGGCGCAGCGAATTTAACTCGGCCAACGACTAGTCTCAGCGCGACGTGGCACTGCGTAGATTTGTCTTGTCAAGATTGGTTAGCAGCCGTGTAAATGACGTTTGTCTGTGTGCGTGCGTCGATTGGGGCGCTAGTATGAAGTCGGAGAACTGCTCTTGTATGTATTGTGCCTATGGTATGGCTATAAAGTACAATCCAAATGCTAATAGATGCTAACGAATGTGATTCCAGCCCCAAAGTACTGATCAAAAATAATTTTTGGTTCTCCAACCTGAGATTCCAGCCTCGAGTTTTGTAGTAGACTTCTTGGCAAAACCAAAGACAATATAGGCTATTTGACAAGTTTTTGAAAACGTTCATACGTGGATATTTACAACTCCGTTGCGTACCTATATCAGTAAAAAAGTTAAAAGAAAAATGTTTTCAAATATACTGCGTAAAAGTTTATACAGCAAACATGGCGTGTTTACAGGCAAATGACGTTACACGGCTCTCATTAAAACGTCAAACAGTACAAAGGAATGTCACTTCGTCAGCATGTTTACAAGCAGGTGACTGAAATAATAAAGGCCATAAGGTCACGTGACATTAAACTAAAATTTACTTTTCTGTTTAATGATTTTTAATATTGCCACAAACACATTCGAAACAAAACCGCGTAAATACTGGAGACAGATTTTACCAGAACACCGCGGGTCGCGACGTGAATGATCGCGATAAAGGTCGAGTGGTGCGGCTCATTCTAATATGAGCCTAATGCAGTGCGGCGTAAGAGATAAAGTGCAACAACATCTGCACTTGTTTACAACTTATGCGCGTTACCTACGTATAGTAGGTACTACGCACTCGCGGGTGCTAGTTAAACCTCAATTTAATGGATCTTTTCTAGAATGCGTCGATTGGCGTATATAAGCGCGACCGGCGCCGCTCAGCAAGTAGTCGAGGTTCAACAGCGTTTTTGGAACGAATACAAAGGCGATCAAAGTGCAAGTGTTCAAGTGCGATTGTTTAAAGACTTCTTTAGTTAAGTACAGTGTTTAGTGAGTTCATTGTGATTAACATTGTGTGTTATCTGTGTGGTGAATAAAGTACTGTCAGGAGTGAACTGGCATATACACGATATATATTCATAATAATATTTTCGACACGTAACAATATTATCAACTACTACTTTGTGTCAAAAATGACAATCGTACATGGCAATAATTGGTACTTTATTTTTCATACTGTCAAATAGCCTATTAAATTTGCGCAGTGAACGTTTTTAGGGTTTTGGTATGTAAAATTTCTATTGCGCAAGCTTCGTTGTCGATGGTCACGGAGCATACCCACTAGAGTACGCATTACAATTTTTTCAGAAATCGAAACGCCAAATTTAAAGCATGCAGGAGGAGTAAGGCGCGTTTTGATTGGACACCGTCATCAGTGTGACGTCACGGCGGTTAGATGACAAATTTGGTAAAACTATTGATTGCCATTCATTAGGGAGCGTATCACAGGCTTATGCAGTATTGCTAGATAATATTGGCACAAGTGGGTCTTCTTATTTGCGATATCTAGTGGGTGTGCTATGTGTTCATGGTTTGTGCTTAAAAGGTTTACCAGGGTGCGTGTGTACCAACGAATCAGAAATAATATGAAATACGAACTACGCTAAAAAGTGGTTCCACGAAAACAAGTGGTCAGGTCAAACAGTCAAGTGGGCGATCCGAAAAAAGTGCGAGCAATACGCCGAATATGGGATTTCCGTTTAACATTATCTTACCTAATTAATGGATAGCCAAAATCATTTGCAGATATATGACTTGTCAAAGTATTTTGTTTTGTCTGTGTGCTTGTCGCGTTAGTATTGAAGTTTAGGTGTATGAGTTGGAACCATGTTTTAGCGATCTTTGTTAGAGAGCGATGCGTCCGTATCATTTCTAATTCATTGGTGTGTACCTAGTATATACCGCAGCGTATACCTGCAACAGCGGAGTGCGGCATGAATGGATGCAGGCTAGCGTCGTACGCGCACAGCGTGGCAGCCTCGCCGTCCCACTGAGGGAGCTTGCAGGCCGCGGTTTTACTCCAATTGCTACTGGAATCAACGGTTCAGTTACCGACCCGGACCCACAGGCCTGGATGCGCTGTCCTTGGCGTTACATTAGTGCACGAGCCTCTACCACCCGTGCTGTGTTCGCTACTTTCACACAAGTGCAGAAATAATAAAATCTACATTCTTTGAGTGATGTTTTTGTGATGAGAGAATCATAATCAAAATTTTATATCTACTTGCGGATTTTAAAAATTAATCATATTTGTAAGGCTAAGGATATGAGTGTTTAAAAAAAAACTAAATTGAAAGATATGTACTTATCCAGTTTACAAAAGTGATACCTATGCTACTTGTGTGAAAAGTAAGTTAAATTGTTAATTTATATCCAATGTTTATTACAAATGTATTTTTGTTCTCGATAAACAACAAATAGAGAAAATAAAATATATCTTATGTTAATGATATTTTTACATATATGTATATATATTTATTTATTATGAGATAGACAGACAACATTATTACCATCACCACCATAAATAGGATGACTTTTGGGTGATTTAAAATGAATTCAAATTACCTTTTTATTTCAATTGAAATATTAGGCCCTTCCGTATAAAATTTGTGTTTTGTTGAAATGAAAATTTGACCATAAATATCGCTGGCGTTTGAATTTGATTATGTAGAACCATGTTTTAAATTTGATGAGCAGAAGCTATGGGAAACATTAAATTGCGCCTTTATAATGCAAATGAACAGTTGATAAGGTTTTAGGATTACTGGACCTGGCCGGACGATTACGACGGATCAGTATTGCAAACCATGATGGAAAAACAAGCCCCTAAACAATCGAGACTAGTTAATTGCTTTAGCTCATTGCTGAGTACTGCTGCCAACTAGACAATGGTAGACCAAGAAATTAGCGAGAAATTGGGGCAGCTACTATTGGAATGTCCTCAAAACATACCATATTCTCCGGACCATGCATGCAATAAAAAAACTATTCTGATGATGCAGCCAAAGCTGCCTTCAAAGATTTTATTGGTCTACGCTCTCATATATTTTTTTTTTGGAAAGGAATCAATGAACTTATTAAAAAACAAATAACGATGATAGATAGGCACTGTCATTAATTATACTTAATATATTTTTCCATTTTTTTCGAATTTCATATAAAAGGGTATTTTTTTTAATACTGTAGATTGGGTGTCAGTGCATGTGTATTGTGTTGTGAATATTTATTTCTGAAGTATTATAAAAGATATAATAATAAGTACAATATTGGCTAAAAATTAATAAAACATAGATTTCTGAACCTAGAATTAACCTGTAATAATAAAAGAACGGAGCCGTGTGTTATTTCCCAACACCAGGTTGACGTACGTAGTACGGTGGCGGTCAGAAAATGTTAACCAGTTTTGAAATTAGATTCTATATCACACTTTTTTCAGTAAAATCTAAAATGCCATATCACGTAACTTATTACCTTTCAAAAGTTATTATGCAAAATGACGCATCGAGAATAACAAAAAGAATTAGATATTAATTTATGGCATTGTAACTCATTTCTTTATTTGTTGAAATGACATTCACAAAAAAATGATTGTTTGAACATTGTTCGGACAAGAGCAAAATTTTACGAAAAAAACCATAACGAAATAAAATGCCAAGTTTGACCCTGGAGCAAAGGGCTGAAATAAAATTTCTGTTCGAAGATGGACATAGTATTAGTGCTATATCACGAGAACTCAATATATCGCGATTTACTATGAGGTATTGGATCCGGCGTCACGGCGAAGGAGGGCACTTAACAGATCATAGAAATAATTCACGGCGACGACCAATACTAACCGCCGCCGAAAAATAACAGAAATGATTCGTCGTTACGGAGAGCACGGTTTCACACAAACTAGTTATTTTGCTGCTTTATATGATGTGATTGCTCGTACGATCCGACGAGCTTTGCACAGTGCTGGACTACACTACAGACACCATGCTTACCACCATTAAAGTGGAGCTGAAACCTCACCACATAACAGCCTTGCTTAACTTTGCGCGACAACATCTCGATTTTGATTGGTTGAATACTATATTTACCGATGTGAAAACCTTTAAATCAAGCCAAATCGGAAGATTAACTTTATGGCGCTCTAATCGAACTCGGTATGACGAAGCTCATATCGTTCCTCAAAACGTGTCAGGTCGCATAACAGTAAACTTATGGAGGTGGATGAGCCTCGACGGCGTCGGAGAACTAACGTCGTTAGAGAATAGGGCTACTGCCATTAATTATGTGTCGCTTTTGGCAGAAGTGATGCTGCCTACAGTGCGCGTAATGTATCCTGCAACAGAATTCCCGTACATTACTTATGTTCAAGATAATGCACGGATACACACGGCCCATGCTACTATGGCGTGGTGCAACCTACACCGTGACATTCGTCCCATTCAATGGCCCGCTCGGTCTGCTGATTTAAACCCTATTGAAAATTTATGGTTCAACGCTGGGACTGTCAAAATTAAAGGAACCCTCATGATCTTCGATCACACTGTGCTCGAGTATGGGCAGATATTAGAGGGACCGATCTATGCGCGCGTTTTATTTTGTTGCATCTATGCGAGATAGACTACGTGCCGTCATAGCTGCAGAGGGAGGTTATACTAGGTATTAAAAATAAAGATTTTTGAAGTTTCTATTCTATAATTTCTTCATATTCTTAGTTAAAAAAAAAAACTATGGTCAATCAAATTATTATGAAATAGACATTTAAAACTTGAGATCTAAATGTGTGCATGCAATTATGATCCTTAAGGTGGTAAACATTTTCTGACCGCGACTATACATAAACTTAATTTTATTTTTAAAACAACATAGAAAAACCCATTCGAAGCAAACACTTTTCAACATTTATATACAGCCTTCAAATATGAAAGAAAACATTTAGTTAAACATTATTTAAAATACAGTCCACAGTTGATTTTGGAGAAAAAGCAATTATATACGTATATACATAATATTATAAATGGAACCTGTAACTTACCACATGACAACCCCCAAAGTAAAAAGAACTAACTACATAGGCTATGATGATTGTGAACAGTTGTGTTATTGCTTTTAGATCATGGAAATAATGTCAGACTGTAAGAAGCTAAGAATACATGCAAGAGTTACCTCAACTTTTTACGTTAATTTTTTATTATTTAGGATGGTGGATGGCCTAACCTTACGTAATTGACCAGATCGTCATTAACTTAATCTACTGTGTTGCCTATCCTATACTCCTTCGTGCTACCGTTAAGTTTGTGAGGCGTGTAACGTGAACTTACACACAAGTAAGTATTTAACTGCGGTCGCTAAGTATGCGGTAAATATAACTTGCTTGCCTCTTTTAGAACATCTTCATGGTCCATAATATTATTTACAAAGGGGTATTTCCAAGAACTGACGATTAATCGATCATGCGAGTGACTATCCGAGTCTTAAAGATAACTAAAATAATTATATTTTTATTTATTTAAGCATTAAACTGCTCGATGCTACTAAAGAAGAGTGCGGGTTTGAGTCCCGTCTGCTGCTTGGTCCGCGTGGAATTTTTCCTAGTAAAACTTTTCTTTAGATTTAAAATAATAATCTTCCTTAATACTACCTACCTTGTATGAAAAATACAAATTCAAGGACCATGATAGTTCTTACCAAAATATCGGAATATCTTTATTGTGAGTTCGATTTGTTCGATCTGCGATTCTTGTATCTTTCGTAATTATCTGTGCTTCGGAGAGCATGTTAAACCGTTGGTCTGGCTGCATCTGCAGTCGTAGCACCCATCAAACCGCAATGAGCACGCGCGATATGTTGTGAACTGTGATTCTATCCCGGGAGTTGCTTCTATTGGGAACATTAACAGATTGATGACTACCGCGAAAATACGAAGATTTTGGGTTTCAATTTGGTCTGGCCAAACGTTGAGAATTTTATTGCGACAGCAATGATTTCGTTCAGCTCTGAATCTTAATGTAAAAACTCTTAACCTTTTTTGTTGAACTCGTAAGAGCATTAATTAAATGTACATCCTGATAAGTACTCGAAGTTTATACCGCCTACAACGGGACACGAATCTACGCGCGATAATGTGGTCGTTTGATGAATATTACTCACTCGTGTCCGAGCTGGGTGTCCCTATCAGAGCTCTTGTTGTGATCGGACGCGTAGTTGGAGTTCGGGGACGACGGCCCGGCCGAGGACAGTCCGCTGGGCAGCTCGCCCGACGACGACATCAGCGAGGAAGGACCGCTCCAGCCCACACCTGTTTTACAATATATAATAGACTAGCGACCGCGAGCGTCCGCGTTAACTTTAAGGTTTTTGGGAATCTCACAGGAACTTAACATTTTTCTCTAGGATTTATCCCAGAAAAATGTCATGAATGAAAAGTATCCTATGTCTCATTCCAGGGTATAAGCTGTATGTGTGTAAAATTTAATCCAAATCCGTTTAGCCGTTTTTGCGTGATTGAGTAACAAACGCAGAAAACACAAACCTACAAACTTTCACATTTATAATATTAGTAGGATAACTTGACTGTAGTAACGAATATTGTTAATTACTGAGGGTAACTAACTCCAAATCCTGTTACGAGATATTTCAATTTGGCCAATGATAGATATTCACGTACTTAAAAAATATGCCGTCTGTATATATTTTTGAAATGCCAACTGTGGGAAATATTAATAGTACTTAATCTGAATATCACAATCTTCACATCATATGGTACTCCATGGAGCTCAAATTCGTGTAAATAACGTTAAGATATTAATAACGCGCTCCAGCCCCTCTAGCATGACCACCGAAACGGGACATGATAAAGAAATATATCGGCATAAACTGTCAGACTACTGTCAAACTCCACTGTAGTCTGACAGTTAATGCCATGTTAATGTGGCGGGCATTCACTGTTGGTGGGCGAGGGTTGTTTCTGCGCGGGCAGCAGCACGGGCGCGGGTCACTCGCTCCAGGCACGCGTTCAGCGCGGCGCGTATAGTGTGGCGGGCACTCACTGTTGGTGGGCGAGTGTTGTTTCTGCGCGGACAGCAGCACGAGCGCGGGTCACTCGCTCCAAGCACGCGTTCAGCGCGGCGCGTATAGTGTGACGGGCACTCACTGTTGGTGGGCGAGGGTTGTTTCTGCGCGGGCAGCAGCACGGGCGCGGGTCACTCGCTCCAAGCACGCGTCCCGCGCGGCGCGTATAGTGTGGAGGGCACTCACTGTTGGTGGGCAAGTTGGTTCTGCGCGGGCAGCAGCACGGGCGCGGGTCACTCGCTCCAGGCACGCGTCCAGCGCGGCGCGTATAGTGGGGCGGGCACTCACTGTTGGTGGGCGAGGGTTGTTTCTGCGCGGGCAGCAGCACGGGCGTGGGTCACTCGCTCCAGGCACGCGTCCAGCGCGGCGCGTATAGTGTGGCGGGCACTCACTGTTGGTGGGCGAGGGTTGTTTTTGCGCGGGCAGCGCAGGCGGCGTGCCCAGCAGCACGGGCGCGACGGTCACTCGCTCCAGGAACGCGTCCAGTTGCCGCAGTGACAGCGCGTTGTGCAGTGTCTCCAGCGGACGGATCGCAGGCACCCCACCGAATCCTTCTAGCGCTGCTACTGGCCCATATGACATAAAATTTAGAAACCACCCTCTTTTATTAATTTAACTACTTCAGTATCGAAAATTCCCTTTAATTTCAATCATACAGATTTTTAAAAGAAAAAGACAAATATCCCAAAATTCATTTGAAAATCTGACTATTATTAATAAACAAAGAATAAGTCTGGCTTAGTTACTCCATGTTTTGTCTCATTGAATGACAAATGGCAGTTGAGCGATATGAACAAAACACGGCGTAACTTGTCTAAGGTATATACATAGTATCATTTGCCTTCTCCACAGAAGTTCGTATCAAAACTGAACAATAAAAAAGCACACGGTGCGATACTGACTATTACTGGCGGCGTTGCTCGGTATCATGACGCGCAGGTTCGGCGCCGAGCTAGAGCCCGAGATGACGGCGGTGCTGAACAGCCCCGCGCCGCCGCCGGGCAGCTTGCCGCGCGCCAGCCCCAGCATCTTGAGGTAGCTCATCTGGCCGGCGATGCTGTGCCGCTGCCGCCGCCCTGCCACGCCCCACGTCAGTGCCGACAGCGGCAGCTCGTTCGTCGCCGACTCCACGCGCGGGGAGGGGGGAGACGGCGACGGCAGAGCGTCTTACGCGAGCGAACGGGACAGTTACAGAGGGACGGATGGGACAAGAAATAGATGAGTTAATATAATACATATATACGTTCATTTATAGTGTAAACTCTGTATGGCGAATTTATGTGAAAAGCTCTTTTAAACGTAAAGAACGCTTAAATTTCTTTGATTTATATTAATGCCTGCAACGTCCCACGTCAGTGCCGATGGTGCACGAGCTGCCGCTCGTTCGTCGCCGACTCCGTGCGCGGAAAGGGGAGAGACGGTGACGGAAGAGCGTCTTACGCGAGCGAACGGGACAGCTATAGAGGGATTGACGGGACAAGACGCGTCAATATAATACATATAAAGCGAAATTATGTGAAATGCTGCTTAAACCAAAGGATTTAGAAGTTTCATTATGCGGAATGACTGACACGCCCTACGTCAGTGCCTCGCTTCAGTGTTATTCGCCGACTCCACGCGCGGGTAAGGGCGACGGCAGAGCGTTTTAACGTTACCGTGCCGCGCGCTATACGGTAAGAGTACGGAAGAGATGTGAGGGACGGACGGGCCAAAAAAATAGATGAGTAAATATAATACATATATACGTAGATTTATGCTGTGTAAACTCTGCATAGCGAAATTATGTGAAATGTTGCCCTAAACATAAAAATCGGTACTTTCTTTGATTTACATTATGCGTAATGCCTACCACGCCCCAGGGGGGAGACGGCGATGGCAGAGCGCCTTAAGTTACCACGCCGCGGGCGAAACGGCACAGTTTGAGGGACGGAGCAAGAAATATATGAATTAATATAAAACATATATATAGATTTTTAGTGTGTACTGTATAGCCAAGTTATGCGATAAACTCAGAAGCATATAAAACATAGAAGCGGTAAGTTTCTTTGATTTACATTATTGCAATTGTGTCGAAACACTTTATGGGCTTTCTAATAAAACTTTGGCAGTGAGCGTGAACAGTCTTGTGATGATTTTATGCTATAAATGAATTAACTGGTGAAACTGATACTTTACAACGTCATCTTATTACTATGAATTTAACAAAAACCATACAAGACAATTAATAGCCCAGACCTTACTGCTATACAAAGTTTACACGAAGGAAAAATAAGAAATGAACTGTGAATAAAGCGGGACGGACGTAACTGTGGCATAGAAACACGAGCGGCGATGCCAGGTGCGCCAGTTTGACGACTGTTCCTCCGACATTTAGCGAGCAAAACTTCAAGCCATATAAATTACCCCCTCGCTCACGATCACGTGATCGAAGGGCTAAAATACAACATCGAGCTTTCGCCCGCCCATGTAAAATAAATCGACATCGTAAACAATAAGATCAATTATAAAACTAATAAAGTTAGTGTCGATCTAATTCATGCAGGTGCAAACAATAGTCAAACTTAACACATCAACGCGAGGTGCGAGAGTGCAACGAAAACACACACAAAATCACCGGCCAGAATGAGCTAATCGAGGAAACTCCGCCGCCACACATCGCTAAGAACTCCAAAGGAACATAAATTGTAAAGTATAGATATGAAACACTTTCCCCAAAATAGAATAAATTAAGAAACACAATTATAACGCATCCGTGATGAATGAGTGGAAGGTGCCTTCTAACAATAACTTGCAAGAGAAGTTCAATTATAAAAGTAGATACACATGCCTTCTACGCCCATCCTTACCTTTAAGGTAGTTTGTAGTTTGCCTTTGTTTTAAATACACATAAAGAGGTAATTATAATCCAGGAAAAATACAGATAGGGTAATACAGTTGCCTTTTTCTAGAATTTTCCAACAATCTAACATCCGCTAGACATAAAATTTGATCATATCATAACAAAAAAAAGCTTATAATATTCCCAGACATTTCCAGTAAAAAAAAAGTTCCCACAACCTCATACAAACGTAACTATGAAACTCGTTACCGACAACGAAGATATACTACGCCGCAGTACGCAGTAAAGAAGGTATTCCTCCATTCCATCGTTCGTTTGTTCGATCGAGTCGGACCCGAGTCCCGCCCACTGACCTTGGTCGCTGTCGGCCGATATTCCTCGGTAGCGCAACCCGCCGCCAGAGCTCGTCTCGTCCGACTCTGCCGCAGTCGTGCGATCACATAACGTCAAACGTCATCGTCGGGGTAACACACCGCATGGCAATTGGCCGAACATGGTTGGAACAACAAAATATTGTCTAATGCTAGCACTTCACATAAGCTATCTGTATGCCCTACTAGCGGCCGCCCGCGACATCGTACGCGTGGAGTTAGAAATAAAGGTTCACTGCTCGTTCCCACTAGGTGATAGCGTGATAATATATAGCCTTTAGGTTGACCCGATTACTTAATAATATTTGTGCCAAATTTGTAGTAAATCCATGCAGTACTTTTTGAGTTTATCCTGGACATACATATAGACAAACAGACAAAAATTCTAAAAACTATATTTTTGGCTTCGGTATCGATTGTAGATCACACCCCAAGTATTCTTTTAAAAAAATATTTAATGTACAGTTTGACTTTCCTACCATTTTATTATATGTATAGATTTGTAATTTTGACAACAGTGTATTCTTATCATGCTCTATAAAGTATGAAAAGAAGGGATTGTTTTAAAATTCACAAATTGCTAATACGAGTAGCCATGTGAAATGCTAGAATAAAACGAGATATTCTTTTACATTGGTAATTTTTAGCACTTCTATAAATATCATTACCCAACCATCATTTAACCAATTCCATTATTATGAAAAGCTAATTCAGGCTTAGGTTAGGCTACTGTTTCTAGCTCAAATTAAAAATGTTTTCTAACTACATATTAAATCACTCCTGATGAACGTTAAAATAAAATCGTCATTAAAAGCATCTCACGCTTTCGTTCACTCAAACCAAATTATCTGTATGGTTTGTTTAAAAAATTATAAAGGTATGGAGCTGACAAACAGATGAAACTATATTAATTTATACTATACTTAGATAACCTTGAGTGATATCCACAGGCATTTCAATAACGCCATTTCTTCTTGTTATTTTTATAGTCATAAAAGATAAGAAATCTACTTTAATAAATTGCGTCTTATGCATTTTGAAAGTTATTGGGATCAAAATACAAATTCTACTTTCACACTTGTGAACGACAAACTAAAACTTTAACGCATTTTCATACTGTCTTTAATTATACCTAAAAATTCAAACAAAGCCAGGCTTTGTTAGTAAAAACCAGCAAAACGCGAACCGCGAGCTCTAAAATAATTACCGTTGTCGCTGTTCTGTTTATGCTGGTCGTAGCTGCGTGCTCTCGGTGGTGCTTCTTCGGCCTCTTTTGATTCCTTCTCTTCGCTCTACAATTAAATTATAAGATATCGTAAGGTGCGTATGATAGGGTGGGTATGACATTACCATAGAGGTATAAGAATAGAATAGGGAGATATGGACTCTACTACAAGTGGAAGTGTCCCTGTAATAGAAAGAGAAAGAAGATGAAAGACCGCTAACATTCTCTTTCTAATCGCGCATGCGCATTGGCAACCGTAAGCATCTTACTTTTTCGATGTGATACCATTGGATGCCATGCGTCACAAGAGAGATAGTTAGCAGTCTCTCATCTTCTTTCTCTTCCTAAAAACGTGTATAAACTTTTAAAATCATTGTGTGTGTCAAACGTATATAAATATAAGTGCTGCTTTTAGGAATTAAACGTATGTCTAATTAATTGTTACATAACATTTTTAGTGTTTGGCACTTCTTGTTTATACACACTATTTTATTCTATTTAATGTTTCAATTTCGAGTAATTATTTATTTTCATCTGAGAAGCTAGACGCCATTAGTGGTTAACGCGTTTGGCTGCAACAGTTGAAGTTAAGCAACTTTCGCAGTGGTCGGTCATTGGATGGGTGACCAAAAATTTACTATTTCGAGCTCCGTGCTTGAAAGGCATGTCAAGCCGTTGATCCCGGCTGCATTTGCAGTCGTTAGCACTCACCAATCCGCATTGGGCGGGCGTGATGGGTCATCGCCCAATCTCTCTATTCCATCCATAGAGAAGGCCTGCGCCCCAGCAGTGGGGACATTAATAGGCTGATGATGATGATTTATCTTCATACCTGGTCGGCATCGTGAGTGCGCGCTCGTAGCTCAGCTGTGAGTCTCGCTGCCAGAGTGGACGCCTCGTGACCACTTACAGTGTAGTGGAGATTACTGGACAAATTATTAGCTTTTCAGAATATTTGGAGACGATTAAAAGACCTCTCACCTTGTAATATATATTATTTACTAGCTGTGCCCCGCGGTGTTACCCGCAGTATATTAGGGAAATTAAATTCATCGATTTTCCCATGGGAATAAGATATTTAAAAAGTAGCCTTTGTGTTAATCCAGGGTGTCAGCTGACTCCATACCAAATTTTATTATAATCGCTCCAGCCGTTTAGACGTGAAGAAGTAACAAACATACTCACTCACAAACTTTCGCCTTTATAATATTAGTGTGATTTATGAACTGAACAAAAGGAAGAGTACGCGACAATGCCTTGCCACAAAAAAGGGAAAACCAAACTATGTATCATGCACAAGGCATGTTTAAATTTTATAATAAATTAATTAATGTTTCTAAGAAGAAGTGTTTTTTTTAAGGTGCGACTAAATGTGCCATTATCTACGGCAATTTGAAGCTACATCGTTGACAAGCAATTGCAATTAATGGCTGGGCCTTTTGTGCAATATGTCTGCAATAGTAAGGCCGGTGATGCAGACTCCTAAACGGGCTACGCAATACTGCAACAAAGTCTGATTAAGTCACACTTGTCGCAGCCGCTTATATTGTTATAACTAATATGTTTTACAAACAAGATAAAAATATAAGATACTTACCAAATTGGTATTGGATCCGAAGGCCTTATTTTAGACTTGGACGACTTTTTAGGCGAAAATGTATTATCTAATTCATCGGCATTGTCCTGAAACATACAAATAAGCTCAACCAAAATAAGTAAATAAGAGTTTTACGGTGAATAAAAAACAACTTTAATCTGCTGTTTTTTATTTGCACTTAAACGGCAAATATAAGACAACACATTTGTATGAGAATTCATCAAAAGGATCGAGATCCCACGTCATCAATGCATTATATACCGACCTAGATAACGTGCCTTCTGTCGCTCTAGAGTATTAAATAAGAATGGCACTGAAATCTGCACCTTAAAAGCAATAGAAAAGAGCACTTACAGGTTGTAAAGTTTCCTGACTAGCCATCTGGTCATCTTCACTCTCCTCTTCTATACATTTCACTTCATCTGAAGAACTCTGTAAAGCGCAAGAAATTAAGATTAAATATCGATCATAAGGACTTATGACATTTTGTCATTCATAAGTAACCGAGTTATTGAGGATCAACATTAAATTTAGAATCAAGCACAAAGTTTATTAGCAAATTTGAGCTAATAAACTTTGTGCTTGATTAGATAATTAGAAGAGAAAAGAAGAGATAATTAGAATTAATATATTTTATTTCCACTGTGCAATAAAGGTTTTTGCAACACTATATATACTCGTATAAGAATAACTTGCCCTATTAATACAAAACCTAACAAACTCGTGCCAATAAAGAAACGGGTCCCATATTACGACGCAAGATATTCTCTTCCTTTTGCATATTATTCCTAATGTGATAGACTAATTTAGAGAAAAATAGCTGTCGATTCTGGCATGATTCTCTAAACTTAAAACTAAATTTAACATCAGTGTCTCGTTTTCATTCTGTAAAGAGAATGACAAGGATACACTGTTGTCAAATTTAAGTTTAGGTTTAGATAATTATGCCGGAATGAACACCATTGTTAAACTAACCGAGTTATTGGCCGTAGAATGGTTGCGGCTGTGCGGCCGGAACCCTGGGCCAGGCGGCAGATTCTTTTGGACGCAGCAGTTCACACCTGGACTGAAGTGAAGCTCCACGTGGAATCTGACGAAAATCCACCATATTTTAGTTCAATATGCTTCAATCTGTGAGTGTGAGTGTGTCATTGAACATCAGGTGAGGAAGAGTCATTTGCCTACCTAGCTATAAAAAAATGAAGTCTCGCAATGAATTTTCATTATTTTTATATTTTTATTTATTTATGATCAGGTTTCATGATCATATTTGCCCACTGCATCGGCCAGGCTCGCTTTCAGGAAATTGATGTCCTTCAGCAGCCTTTAGCCAAAAGGGATTGCTATGGCTAACGCAATTGCTTACGATTTTTCATTTTGGCACTTCTGACTGACACATGTTTTGAATGCCTCGCACTGTTTTTTTTCTTTTGAATTGGTAATAACAAGATTAAAAAATATGAGCGTGAGGTGTTTGAAAATCTGCGGAATCAGAAACAACAAAATGAAGTCGTAAGCGATAGCGTAAGCCAAAGGAAACCCGTTAGGCGATTGACCCCCCGGTGACGTCGACGTGGTCGAAAGTGACGGGGGGGAAGCTGGTGCAGCTCCTTTGCTATGAATGTAGGCACGTCGTTCGTATCGGTTTCCTTCAGCAGGGTGATGATGTCCTGCACAATCTTCTCAGTACCATCTCTCCATCGTGATGGCATCTTGTCGGCTTTACCGATAGACCGGAACAACAGCACTTTGCCACTGCAAACCTTATCCTCCCTGAAGTTCGATTTGTAGACCTGCAGGATGCTGACCTCGTACCTCCATAGTGTCGATGGCGTTTTGAATAAACGCCAACAACTCGTTAACTATGAGTTGTTCATATCTAAATCACTTGCAAAATTTCATATTTTATTATCTGACATGTAGCATCTAGCACTTCACAGAATCTGGTCCTCACCTCTCCTCAGAGCAAGGGTCCTTAGTGGGGTCCTCGTACAGCATCACCACGATCTGCGACATGTAGTTGAGTTCCGACACCATCGAAACGTACTCCATGGCGCGGCGCCACTGCTCATCGTTCAAAACCTGTTGCAACATAATATTTTATTATTTCTTTATAGGTATTTAAAAAGCTTTACAACTTTTTTCACAGTTCTGATGTTAAGTGAAAGTGGAGTCCACTTATGAAGATGGTCAGAGTGGCAGAACATAGAAGATCTTTCTCTCAATCTAGAGAGTTGGAAAGTTCATGAGTCGTGAAAAATAATTTCGCCGTGGACTTGTCACGGACTCAAAGCTGGTTGTTCGAATATTTGTCTCCCGAAAATTAAGAAAAGCGCACGCTATGGAAGTTAATATTCTCGGAATTCGTTTTATTGTAATCTACATGATTTTTCATCAAAGTACATCCCTTCAAATCGGATAGAGCGCGCAACGCGGACAATACGCGGAAAGTTTGTTGTGTGCATTGCTGCGCTTAGTCAAATGAGTACGACCTCCGTGGCCGAGTGGTTTGTACACCGGGTTTCATGGTATCGCGGACTTGATAGGTCCCGGGTTCAAATCCCGGTGGGGGCAATGTTTACGTGATGAATACGAGCACTTGTACTCCAGTCATGGATGTTTAAATATATATTTCTATAAAAATATACTTATATATGTACAGTATATGTATTCTATCCGTTACCCTAGTATCCCTTAACACAAGCCTTTATGCTTACTTTGGGGCTAGGTTAATTGGTGTGAGTGTTGAAATTTGAATTATTATTGATGTGTAACATCTTTCCTCTCGTTTTGTGTAACTTGTGGGAGTGATTACGTGAAGTGGAACGGAAGTGTGTAACAAGAAGTTTGGGAAGCGCGCGCTATTTGATTTGATTTTAGCACAACGTTCAAATGGCTTATTCCTTTTGTAGTAGGTTTTATTTCTTTTAATTTACTAATATAAGGTGAGGTTTCAAATGTTACACATCCTACGCGACCACTGTAAGGCTCGCTCGTTTTTGATGTGTAACATCTTTCCGCTCGCTTTGATGCAATTTGTGGGTGATTTCGTGAAATGGGATGGAAATGTCCCATTTCACGAAATCGAAGAAGCGCGCGCTATTAATTGTTTTTAGAATATTATGTTAAAATTATTTCTTTTGAAGTGAGTTTTTTTACTAAGGTGAGATGTCGAATGTTATACATCATACGCGACTACTATAAGGCTCGCTTGTTTTTTTATTTCTAGCTGACCCAGCGAACTTCGTATCGCCATAAAAATAAGGGGAGGTGGTAGAAGAGAAAATTTTGGGTTGTATGTATTTTTTAATACCACATTATAAAATAATAAATATTGTCCAAAAAAAATATAAGGGGTGTGTAACGTAGTGTTTCGTCAATTTCCTGGGCTAACATACCTCTTAATTGATTGCTAACAGTTTGAATTTTCGCGCGTTTTTCAGAACACTACGTTACAGTTGGACAACCATTATCACTTATGGATATGAAAAATAGATAGTAGCCGATTCTCAGACCCACGAAATATGCATATAAAATTTCATAAAAATCGGTCAGGCCGTTTCGGAGGAGTATGGTAACTAACATTGTGACACGAGAATTTTATATATAAGATTTATGATCGCTCACGTCCAGCAGTCCACCGAAGCGTAGTACAGTGAGCAGTGAGTGCACGTGGCTCTCGCTGGTGAAGTACAGGCGCGTGCGCACGTGCCGGCCCGGACTCGACACCCCGTGACTGTACCTGAGAAAAACACAAAAAATATCAACAACTAAACTTGCACCCCCTTATTAATAAACGAAGAATAATTTTTGATTAGTTACACTATTTTTTGTCTCTGTTCATTGAATTACAAATAGCGCTTGAGGGATATCAACATAACACGGCGTAACTAGTCTAAGTTTATTCCTAAATCCAATATAATATACTAAACATTATAAAGTCTAGTGATATTTTTATTTTGTAAGCATTTAACTGCTAGATGTTCAGACAGGACTCGAAGCCGCACCTTTCACTATCCGGGCGGATACAATGACCTTGCAGCCTAAGAAATACTGGAAAGAATTCGACAAGGCCATTAGGGCCGCGGATCATAATGGTCAGTGCATGGTGCCTCGACCGCGTGGAATTTTATAATCTATTTAGTGTACCATATCAAAGAGTGCACAAAAATGTAAGGATTAAATAGATTTACCTGGGGTTCAGTCTGTTCACTGTCTCCTCTCCAGATTCCTCAATATTCCTTTGTAAGTCGGCTCGTATCTTTTTTAGCAACGGAGTACATACTCCTTGTCCAATTGTAAGCTTTTCTTGCATAGTGAGGCCATATTCCTGTAACAAGACCCATTGCCTAGTTTAGTATCCACAGCAGTTCGTCTAAAGTTTAGAAGGATCAGCTAAACGTTTTACTAATTATACTATAAAACAGACGAGGAATTATCTAGACTGCAGCATTTTTATCGAGTTGTTACTCAGTCGAGTTCTCCGACACATTTGGGATGAAAACAATTTTTAACGGCGTAAGGCTGACAATGTAATAACACATTGACATCAAAAATCCAAGCAGGGCCAGATTTAGGATTGTGGAGGCCCCGGGCCACTTAGGATTTGTATGCTTATTGACCCATCGAAATGTTGTTATTTCCTAAGCTGTTGTGGAGGCCCCTGGGCCACAGCCACACTTGCCCTGCCTTAAATTCGGCCCTGGAAAAAGGTAAAAGAGCAAAAAAAAAATCAAAGGAAAAAATGTTTACTAGTGTTTACTACTTGGAATTTGAAAGATTTTTTTTCCGAAGTCTCTATTGTGGGGGGCCCCCGTTTGTGGAGGCCCCGGGGCTTTCGCCCCGGTTGCCCTCCCCTAAATCCGGCAGTGAATCCAAGTTACATTTAAACTAAGGTGTAAATTTTGTGAAGTTAGACCTTCTAGAGTGAGAAGCTTGGCTCTACGTGAGATCTGATAACTTTTTTACAGTGCGAGTCATAAGGTCTCGCCTAGGCAACATTTTACATGAAAATGGTTTTTGGGTGGGATTGCATATTTAATAAAACACTTTTATGAGATATGGATATGAGACATCCTAAGATTGTTTCTTTTATTATTAACGGAAGGCTCTACTCCAGGCACGGTACAATAGTTTTAGCTTAGAAGTGTATTATTGTGTATTAATATATGTTCATAAGAGAGAGTCTATGCGAAGTGGCATACTTTTTATTCTATTCTCTGACGTGCCAATGCTTTAAGCATTGGCCGTCGATGGACGATTCAAAAGAGTTACATTATGCTACCAATTTTTATAAATAATTTTATAATTTTGCCTTAATATAGAAAACCGACCCCAAATTCACTCACCTGCGGTATAACAATGTCGGCGAGATACTTGGCATACATGTACAGCTCCTCGGCCTGGTCGAACTGTAGCGTGTGCTGGTTGTGCTGCAGATCGTACTTGATGCAGTCGTATATGTCCGGGATCTTGGATATGTCGTAAGTTTTGTTCTTCATACAAAAGTCCTTCTCGATCTTGCCCCAGCGGCGACCCATTAACTCCCAAGTCTCGCCGTGGTATAGTATCGTGTCTGTTTTGGTAAAATATATCAAATCAAACGTTAATTATTTTTTAAACCTATTGACGTATGAAAGCAAGTAGACTCACGATCGCGCTCAATGTGTCGGAACCAAAATTAGGCACACGCGTCTATTGTGTGTAATTTTCAAACAGATTATTCTGACCGCGCAGTGATTACAACGCACACAATGACAAAGTTTTCGGTTTGATAAACAGAACGAAAATTAGAATTAACAGGAATCAGCAGTCGCAACTATACGCAATTGTCAGTACAGTGATAATCCACGCGCACCTATATCATTTTGTTGATTGCGCCGCGAATTGTGCTTACTTCACAGTTGTCATTTGAATTGCACTATACCTTTGGTCGAGGAGCTCAATGGCGCAGGTGGTTAGCGCACTTGGCCTACAATCTTGAAAGCTCCTCCGTCCTTCAGAAGGCACGTTAAGCTATTGATCCAGGCTGCATCTGCAGTCGTTAGCACCCTCCAAGCCACGTTGGGCCCGCGTGGTGGGTCACGTACGACCCAATCTCCCTATTCCAGGGATGGCCAACCTTCATTTATCAACGTCGCATTTGTCTAAATAAATATCTAACGAGGTAGCCTGTGCCATAAAAAACAACGAGTTATGATGTTTTGTGTGAATAAAAAATCTTTGATCCTCGTTTCTGTAAAGTTACTAGAGTGGCGTTTAAGCAATTTTGCTTTTCCACTATCGATATAATACTTACATAATTCTTTGACGTACACTTCCCCCTTTTTTTCATAGTGAATTTTGAGAACAGCGACGTGCCCAAAATATTGTATCTGATGGCACGCGTGTCTTTGGTTCGCCATCCTTGCCCTATTCTATCCATAGGGCAAGCCCCTGCAGTGGGGACGTTAATAGACTGGTGATGATGATACCTTTGGTCTTGGGGTCGTCCTTCTTGGCGAGCACGATGCGCACGAGCCGCTGTATGAGGTGGTGCGCGTGCGCACAGCACTGCGCCGGGTTCTTGACGAACTGCATGGCCGCCTGGATGCTGAGCGACTGGCACGGGTTGATGCGGGCGCTATCCTCGGCTGTAAACTCACGGTCAACCTGCATCGCCTCGTGAAGGCGTGCCTTGGCCCTACAACCAAACCATACACATATATAGAGCGTACGTATAAAAAAAAACCAGCCAAGTGCGAGTCGGACACGCGCACCGAGGGTACCGTACAAACTCAATTTAATACCTCTACGCGTTCATGAGAAAAGAGGTAGTAACTTTAAAATTTTCAAACATATATTTTAGTATATGATGTAACTGAAATTTACGGTTTTCGCAATTTTTCCTTTATCTGTACTATAAGACGTTACTTCGTATCAAATTTCAAGATTCTAAGTTCACGGGAAGTACCCTGTAGGTTATGATTCCCGTGCGAGTTTCGAAAAATTACGGAAATTTAAGGCTTAAACGGCTGTATCTTTTGATTGCTTTGGCTTAGAAGTTTGATTTTTTCACAGCTCCAAGGGACAGTAGACATGAGTATTAGATATGAATTTCAGCATGATACCTCCACGCGTTCCGAGAAAAACTGTCTTGACAGACGGACGGACGGACGGAGGGACAACAAAGTGATCCTATAAGGGTTCCGTTTTTTCCTTTTGATGTACCAAACCCTAAAAAGAGAGAAACGATGCGATTAGGACATGGATGGGCAAACAACGGCCGACAAAAATAAAAAAATCTTACCAAAAAGTGAGACTTTATTACATGTTCCGGCAAGGACCACCCTGCTGCCGAACTTGATACCTACTCATTTACTTCGCAGCAAGCTTTGAGACGTTTTTATAGTGAAGGGCATTCGGAAGGTGCAAATCGTATGGCCTAAGCAAAAAAGCGGCCCACTATAAATTCTGATAGTAAATATTGGCACGATAGAGAAAATCTAGTATCAACTACTCTTATTGGAATGTTCGGTCCATTCCCTGTCTGCCTTCAGCATTTAGCCGATTCGCACGGCTAGTATCAGGGGTATACCACATAAAATGGGTTATACGATGAGAACATGTAATCAGAGACCCAAGCACGAATTTTGTCAGCTCCGTAATCGTATAGCATCGTCATTTTCTATTGAAAGTAAGCACCGCCCCCCCTATCGGATGTAAGACTAAACTAGCTTTTTCCATACAAAATTTGACGATAACAATACGATTACGGAGCTCTCAAAATTCGTGCTTGGGCCATTGGTACGGAGTACGAACGAGCGCCGTGGCCGAGTGGTTTGTACGCCGGTTTTCATAGTGTCGCCGACTCCTTAGGTCCCGGGTTCGAATCCAGATCCGGGGGGCAGATGTTTGTGTGATGAATACGAACATTTATACTCTGGTCATGGATGTTTAATATGTATTTCTATAAAAATATACTAATATATGTACAGTATATGTATTCTATCCGTTACCCTAGTATCCCAGAACACAAGCCTTATAAGTGCTTATTTTGGGGCTAGGCTAATTGGTGTGGCAGGCTGTTGGAAATATTTATTTATTTAATTTTATTTATTGGTCAATTGAACAGACAAATTTACAAGTAACAATCAATAAAAACAAATACACTTACATATTTTGCACCTTAGATGAATCGCAGTCGTTGTCTAAAAGCCCGTTGGTGTTCGCGGATTTAACCATTTGCACCAATATTGGTGTGAGTTCTCCTTCCAACGCGAGCAGGCCTTTAGCGAAGGCCGCCGCGGTCATCTGTACGCGGCCCTCGTCCGACGCGTAGATCTTCAGGTCGTGACGGAAAGTAGAATGCAGGCGCAGAAGACCGAGCCCTTGGGTGCCGCCTTCACCTACAATAATAGAGGTGATAACGGGGTAACACGAAATTCTATTTAGTCCGTCAGTTAAATTATCAAAAAATAATGGACATGTATTTTTTCTTTCGTCAATCAACCAAAAAGTGATAAAGATAAAGCGAGTCAATGTTTGAGAGTGGGGTCTCGTGATATCACTATTTATTTTATTATATTTTTTTATTTATTTAATTCTAGACCAAAATCCACAGCATTTTCTTAATATAAGGTATATAATTAGGTTTTACAAATATAGTTTATCTTAATGTCAATTACGGATTTTCATTATTTAGTTATAGCATAATAGTTTAGAAAACCCTCTACCAAACAAGGGCGAGATGTGTGCAATGCGCGCGCGCCATTGTATATGTGTTTGTGTGTATATATGTATGTTATTATTATGTGTAAGTGTTCCATTTTTGTTTGTATATTACCAATCAACTAACAGCCCGAAAAGTTTCTTTTTAAAAGATGCTTTACTTTTGCAAGTAAATATGTCAACAGCCGTGAAATTTTTATTGTATGTACTTTGCGATCAAAAAACAACTGAGTTTTGTGCATAGTTTGTGCGACATGTAGTAATTGCGAAAAAGAAAGATGATTTATGTCTGGTACGGGTAGTGGGTGTGTAGAGTGTTAAAAATGAAGAGGCAAGCTCAGTGCAGTCTATAGTCCCATTGCTATTAAGTAAAAATTGTACTAAAACGTGACGTCATGCGACATTTCAAATCAATATGCCTGTATAATGGTTTGATTATGTTAATAAAGAAAATTTTAATAATCTAGCCGATAAATGAAGAAAAAATTTTAGTCATCCCTATTGTACTCTGTAAAAACTAAATTGATACATATAGGTATGTGCATCGGAAAACTAAACCGATGTGCATTTGAAGTGTATATCTTTGACGAAGTCTCACACGACCTACCGCTCGGGACGTAGTTTTATGTTATTATACCTATACTAGCAAACCAGTGAACCAAATGTTCACCAAAAAAAAAATGTATTTAATTAATTGAGAACTTCGGAGATTTTGTTTGGTTTCGTTTGAAATAGAAATCACGTGATTTCTCGAAAACCGGAAGTGCTACGTTACTCACATCCGGTTTGTAGTCTTATCAGACTATTCTCAACTTATAACTTAAACATTCTCTTTATCTATCTCTTACGGTTTGGCCGCTGAAACAGCACCACGGACGGACGGACTTGTCTAATAGATAAGAGATTAGTTTGTAAGACTACTTTCTGGTTCTTTCAATAGAGAATAATAATCCAATAAATATCTTTAATTCACTCGCCACAATTCACATACTTTATAATCATCATCATCAGCCCATGTCCCATGGAGGGCATAGGGAGAATGGGCATGACCCATCTCGTCCGCCTAGTGCAGATTGGTGTCAACGACTGCAGATCCAGCAAGGAACAACAAGGCTTTACATGCCTTCCGAAGCACACAAGAACTCGAAATAATACGGTTTTACTTTCCCATCCAATGATCGGCCAATGCGAAAGTAGCATATGTAACACGATCGCAGACCGAACGGGCTAAGCTAACCATCTGCGCCATCGAGCGCCTCACCTACAATACCAAAAGAAATAGGCCTATTCGATATACAGCTTTGTATCGAGTTAAAGATTACGTGTTATGGTAGGGCAGTAAAAAACCCTACAGTAACTCCTATTCAAAAGAGTGACGATTTGAACGAGGCCAAAAGTCATAGTCGTTTTTTGAATTTTTTTTAGCTGTTTTAGACATTCGGGCTTACATAGAGGGCTCAGATATGATGGGAGTAATTAACAAGGTGCAAGGTTGCCCCCATAATTATGTTATTCTCGAATCATATGTTACTAAAATGCCCCTCTTGGGCTCCCCCTCGCCGCCCCACTCGACACTCGACGCGTGCGACTGAGTACATACCTGGTATGTGCCGGCCCTGCCCGCCCGGGTACATGCAGCGGAACATGCGGTCCAGTACCTCGGCCTGGATGCTGCCCGCAGGCGTCAGCTTGCCGCCCCACTTCAGTATCGACACTCGACGCGTGCGACCGAGTACATACCTGGTATGTGTCGGCCCTGTCCACCCGGGTACATACATCGGACCATGCGACCCAGTTCCTCGGCTTGGATGCGGTCCGCGGGCGTCAGCTCGCCGCCCTACTTCAGTATTGACACTCGACGCGTGCGACGGAGTACATACCTGGTATATGCCGGCCCTGTCCACCCGGGTACATACAGCGGACCATGCGACCCAGTTCCTCAGCCTGGATGCGGTACGCGGGCGTCAGCTCGCCGCCCCACTTCAGTATTGACACTCGACGCGTGCGACCGAGTACATACCTGGTATGTGCCGGCCCTGTCCACCCGGGTACATACAGCGGACCATGCCACCCAGTTCCTCGGCCTGGATGCGGCCCGCGGGGGTTAGCTCGCCGCCCCACTTCAGTATTGACACTCGACGCGTGCGACCGAGTATATACCTGGTATATGCCGGCCCTGTCCACCCGGGTACATAGAGCGGACCATGCGACCCGTTCCTCGGCCTGGATGCGGTCCGCGGGCGTCAGCTCGCCGCCCCACTTCAGTATTGACACTCGACGCGTGCGACCGAGTACATACCTGGTATGTGCCGGCCCTGTCCACCCGGGTACATACAGCGGACCATGCGTCCCAGTTCCTCGGCCTGGATGCGGCCCGCGGGCGTCAGCTCGCCGCCCCACTTCAGTATTGACACTCGACGCGTGCGACCGAGTACATACCTGGTATGAGCCGGCCCTGCCCACCCGGGTACATGCAGCGGAACATGCGGCCCAGTTCCTCGGCCTGGATGCGGCCCGCGGGCGTCAGTTTGCCGCCCCACTTCAGTATCGACACTCGACGCGTTCGACCGAGTACATACCTGGTATGTGCCGGCCCTGCCCGCCCGGGTACATGCAGCGAAACATGCGGCCCAGTTCCTCGGCCTGGATGCGGCCCGCGGGCGTCAGCTCGCCGCCCCACTTCAGTATCGACACTCGACGCGTGCGACCGAGTACATACCTGGTATGTGCCGGCCTTGCCCGCCCGGGTACATGCAGCGGAACATGCGGCCCAGCTCCTCGGCCTGGATGCGGCCCGCGGGCGTTAGCTCTCCGCCCCACTTCAGTATCAACACTAGGGACGGCTCGCCCGCGCACCCTACTGCAAACAAATTATGCACTCACTCAAACTAAACATTTACTAATAAATTCAATAAAAAGAAGTAAATAACAAAAACAAAATAAGAAAGCTATCCCTACCTAGTGTACTGTGCAAGGCTAACAGGTCCCTGTCTCAGCTATGCTTCTGTGGTAGAAATTCAACAATTCCACAGAAGCGCGCTTACTTAATTTAGGTTGTTATTGTTGCGAGTCAAACTTAACGGCTGTTGTGATTGTGAAGTTAGCACAAGTCGTTGCGTAGTAGACTAAATATAGTAGTGCTTAATGTAATACTGCAGTAAAAAGATAAAAAAATAGAATTAATTTGCATAAGTCATAGAAAAAAAAATTGCAAAAGATTTTTCTTTTTATAAGTACGGATTGAAGTAATTTTCGGGGTCTCATCCTTCGATCAACAATTCTATAGGTAATGGGTTGCATACAAAATCAAAGCTAAAAACTGTCCGCGAATGTTTAAACTCATGCAGCTACATTCGATTACCAATTAACAAAGATAAAATTGTTTTAAAACAGTTTAAGTTGAACCTAATAACAGCTATCTCACACAGGAATAAGGTTACAGATAACAAAATGTTATTTCGCACATACTACCTTTTATCTTATAAAACGAACTCTTGTTCCTTTTATAAATTTTATCTGATACTTGGAAAATAACGATAAAGGTGAAAAAAGGGAAAATAAGAAATCAACCTTATGACCCACAAAATAAAATATTTTTACCAGTCATTGGCCAGCGAGTTACTTCGTTATGTATTAACTGAACTAATATAAAATAAGATCCCACGCCTCAAGTGAGGCTATATTTACCGAGATATATTTTACGCGCTGACCCGTTATCTATAGAATTGTTGATGGAAGGTGTCATCAAAGAAAGGTTATTAATGTTCGTTAGAGTTACCGTCGTCAGAGCTGGAGCCGCGCGGTCGCCCCCGAGGCTGATACTTCATCTGCACCTTGCGGTTGATGCCCGAGAAGTGGCCATACCTGCCGATAGAACAATACAGGCGTGATCAAACTATAAGGGCTATTTTAAGTTATTTAATAAAGCAGAGCTGCGTGAGGAGGGTCTCCCGTTACAGCTTTTTCATATGAAATGACATAAAACTGCACGCGAAGTGGACATCCGCTCCGTGCTCTGGTTTAACGCAGCGCAGACTTTAAAACTGGGAAAAACTATCATAAGTCACAGGGAAGCGTGCTCGCTATTTAGTAAAGAAATAATTTAAACCTTATCCCGGGCCTCAAAGTCTACTTTCTGCGAAGAAAAAAGTTTGTGAGTAAATTGAGGTACGCCCTGTTTAAATATATTTTGCTCATAGAGGGGTGTGAGATTTTGAATAACAAATGTTTATATAGAGAATTACAGATAGCTTGAGCTGCTCCAGCTTGCCCTGCCCCTCCTCCAGCTCGGGGTCGGCGTGCCGCGTGTGGATGACGGCGCCAGCATGTCCTACAGGTGTACACTCACATCTCCAGCACACTCTTGAGCTGCTCCAGCTTGCCCTGCTTCTCCTCCAGCTCGGGGTCGGCGTGCCGCGTGTGGATGACGGCGCCCGCATGTCCTGCGGGTGTAGACTCACATCTCCAGCACACTCTTGAGCTGCTCCAGCTTGCCCTGCTTCTCCTCCAGCTCGGGGTCGGCGTGCCGCTTGTGGATGTCGGCGCGAGCATGTCCTGCGGGTGTACACTTACATCTCCAGCACACTCTTGAGCTGCTCCAGCTTGCCCTGCTTCTCCTCCAGCTCGGGGTCGGCGTGCCGCGTGTGGATGACGGCGCCCGCATGTCCTGCGGGTGTAGACTCACATCTCCAGCACACTCTTGAGCTGCTCCATCTTGCCCTGCTTCTCCTCCAGCTCGGGGTCGGCGTGCCGCTTGTGGATGTCGGCGCGAGCATGTCCTGCGGGTGTACACTTACATCTCCAGCACACTCTTGAGCTGCTCCAGCTTGCCCTGCTTCTCCTCCAGCTCGGGGTCGGCGTGCCGCGTATGGATGTCGGCGAGGAGAGCGCGCGCAATGTCCAGAATCTCCTGCAGCTGCTTCGGCTTCTTCAGCTTCACGTGCCCGCGCTTGAAGCCCTCGTACTTCTCGAAGATCTCGAAGAACCTGCCGAAGGTCACACTATTGCAACAATGCCATGAATACATTTTGCTTTGTCCATAATATTACATGTTATTGAATATTAATGTGAAGATAATTTAGTCTGTCTATACAGGGTGTATAAAACAATGGGACAGCTAATAAAATGGGATAATTGTGCATTAGAAAGATAAGAGTTTTACGATATAAGTACAATATAATTAATAACGAAATTTATAGACCGACTAGCTGTCCCAGCGAACTTCGTACCGCCATAAAAATAGGAGTTGGTGATAGAAGGGTGAAAATATAGGGCTGTATGTATTTTTGTATGATGTATCATAAAAAAATAAAAACAAAAAATTTTGTCCAAAAAAAAATTAAGGATGTTCATCCCTAAATGCTAACGTGCTAATTGACAATCTGTAATGTCGGCACTTCACTTGGCTATTCTTTTTTGCTATTTGTAAACTTGACAACAATCTGGACGACTTTTATCAAGATTACAAATACAGCAAATACGATACAGTAAGTCTGCGCAGGCCATTCGAGTTGATACTATTTAGTTGAGTAGCAATTAAATATGTGTCCTACCCATAGACATAGAAAATGCACTAAGTTTAAAAAGATAGATAGCGATGGTGTAGCTAATATAACTATCACTTCGTCTATCTCATAGTTATCTGGGTAAGTTAACTTTACAGTTGGACAGGGAACGCTCAAACCATCGCTATGTGCGTTCGGCATGCGATTGTGGAAGTGAAGCAAATTTCGCAATGGTCACTCAATGGATGGGCGACTGGAAACTTATTATCTCGAGCTCCTACGTTAAGCCGTCGATCTCAGCTGCATCTGCAGTCGTTATCATACGCCAACCACGAATCAGCATTGGGCCAGCGTGGTCACGGCACAATATTCCTATTCCATTCACAGGGAAGGCCTGTGCCCCAGCAGTGGGGACATTGATAGGCTGACGATGATGTTCCTTAGTTTAGGAGTAAAGTAATTAGATGTCTATGTCCTGTCAAAATGGTATGATATTATTGATAACCTCCGTGACCGAGTGGTATATATCGCCTACGTATTCTCGTATTGTACCCTAGTCATGGATGTTTATACGTATATCTAGACAAAATATACTTGTATATATGTACAGTATATGTATTATATCCGTTACCCTAGCATTCCATAACACAAGCCTTACAGTGTTATCTTTGGGGCTAGCCTAATTGTTGGGAGTGTGGGAAATATTTATTTACTAGCGGTCACCCGCGACTTCGTACGCGTGGAGTTAGTTAGAAATAAAGGTTCACTGCTCGTTCTCCGTAGGACTTCTTAATAATATTCGTGCCAAATTTGAAGTAAATCCATGTAGTACTTTTTTAGTTTATCCCAGACATACATACAGACAAAAAGTCTAAAAACTATATTTTTGGCTTCCGTATCGACTGTATATCACACACCAAGTATTCTTTTAAAAAAATATCCAATGTACAGTTTTGACTTTCCTACCATTTTATAACATGTATAGGAATTTGATATTGATATAATCAACTCACCTAGGGTGTCGCACTTCTACTTTCATCTTCTGCTTGGGCGTGCGGTCGCCGTGCCGGATCACGCCCACCACGCACCGCAACTCCATCATTTTCCCAAACGTTGTCGGGACTTAAACAAACAAACGTTTCAAGATCAAACAACAAAAGTATACAAACAACATTTACAAGATATTTTAGTTTGTTCTGCGTCCAATAACGCAAATGTCTATCACCAACATTAATTTACTTAGGCTCGTATTACAAAATGACAACTGGGTCTGATCTTTGCTTGAGTACAGTTAGAAAGGGATGTCGCTCTATATAGCACATAGCGACATTCCTTTCTAACTGTGCTCAAGTGGGGACCATTACTTGGTTGTCATTCTGTAATACGAGCCCAAAACCGTAAGTTTGATGTCTACCATTTTGTGCAATTAATGTCAAAATAGCGTTCATGGGTACCTACTACCTATAGATAGGACGGATTTAACTTAAATGTATACAAATACATAAAACCACACCTTTTGTGAATACAAATTTCACGGCATCACCGCTTTTGGTCTGCGATTGTAGAATTCAAGAATATAGGATGGGTGACCAAAAAATTATTATCATAAGCTCTTTCATTCTTGGAATGGCAAGTTAACCCCATGTCCTGATTGAATCCGCAGTGGTTAGCACCCACCAATCCGTGTTGGATCTGCGTGCTGGGTCGTGGCTTGTTTCCACCATTCTATCCTTAGGGATGGCCTGTGCCAAATTATAGACGAATAATATTATTATTCCATAGGATATTAGTGTTAAGCAAAAATGAATGTTCGGCAGTAATAACTACGGCTAGGCTTTATAGTTCGAGAAATACTGCCGAACTAAATATGCCGGCCCAATTATGTGTGTAACTACCCCCACGTTCCAAATGAGGAGCTGGCGAACAAAACGGTATAATGACGCATCTGGTCATACTACTTTTTTGATGTGTAACCTCTTTCCTCTCGCTTGCCTGCAATTTGTGGGTGATTTCTTGAAATGGGACGGAAGTGTGTAACAGGAAGTCGCGAAAGCGCGCGCTATTGGATTTGATTTTAGAACATAATGTTCAAATGGCTTATTATTCCTTTTGTAGTAGGTTTTATTTCTTTTTTACTAATATAAGGTGAGGTTTCAAATGTTACACAACATACGCGACTACTGTAAGGCTCGCTTGTTTTTTTACAGTGCGGAGGTTTCGGGTCCGTTGAATTTGATTCTCAAATAATTTTCAATCGTAACCGCCTAAAATAGTGTTAAAATTATTAACTTTATAAATTAAAAACCATGCCAAAAGCTCCCAGGAGGTATGTCATTCAGTTTTATACAGCTCCTGTAAAATTTAATTTTATGTAATTATACCGTTTTGTTCGCCAGCTCCTCAAATACAAAGAGGATTGTATTTACTCCGCGGGTGCGCCATACAGTAAATAGTTTAACATAACCGGGTTAGCGCGTTCGGCTGCGATCGTTGAAGTTAAGCAACCTTCGAGGTGGTCGGTCATTGGATGGGTAACCAAAAATTTACTATCTAGAGCTCCTCCGTGCTTCGGAAGGCACGTTAAGCCGTTGGTCCCGGCTACATCTGCAGTCGTCAGCACCGAGTTATCCTCACTGGGCCCGCCTGGTGGGTCATGGCCCAATCTCCCTGTTCCATCCATAGGGAAGGCCTATGGCCCAGTAGTGGGGACATTAATAGGCTGATGATGATGATGAACCTTACCTATAGGTGGGTCGTCGAGTTGGAACGGCACGGACCACGGTATGTGCAGCGTGGGCGCGAGCTCCCGCAGGATCATGTTGCCGAGTATCTTCGCGCAGTCATCGTAGTACTTGTTCGAGTTCTTCACAAATGAGAACCCGTTCACGTCGCAAACGAACGACTTGCCGTTGGCCCTGGCAAATGTTGGAAGGGCCATTAAAATTTATAACATTCGGGTCCACTTGTAGCAATTTTGCTTAATCTCAATTTAACTAAAACTAGATTTAGCTCATACAGTGGTGTCAAATTGGCATTGACGTTTGTCATATTTCTATTGGTTAAATATGATTTCAGTTGAAGAGAGATTTAGAAAATTTGCTGCAAGTGGACCTTAGTTTTTTATAGTTCAGACAGAGCCATGGGTTTGACCATAATACGAGCGAATAACTCCACCCCACCTGATATTAAGTGTAGGTGGAGAATAGCGACATTTCATGTTTCATTTCACGGGTTTCATGCAATAGGGGCGTATACGCATAAACACAACTTTACCGGACGAACAAAACGCTTTATAATCATTTGTTCTCGGTTACGAATTTGAAGTATTTTTATGAATTATACCTACGTACTAATGGAAAGCATAAAGGAGTGATATGAAGTAAAATCTATTATAGAAAGGGTAGTTTTGGTACTTACGGTAAATTTGATAGACTTCTTAGGAAGAAATCCTATACATTTAGTAGGGCGTTAAAACTTACTCCATCAATATTGATAAAGATAAAGTTTACTTAATTCGATAGTAGATATTAGATTTCACGAAAAGTTATAGTTTCCAATTATGGACATATTTTAAACGCCTCTTTTGTATGTTAACTACTAATTCTAAAGTAAAGGCGGATCAGGTGTATGATTTAGCGACATATAAAGATGAAATTAAGGATTCCATATATTTTCCATATGGTTATTTCATCAAATGTAATCATTTGAAATGAAATGTTCAATGTGAAAGTTTTATGTAAGATAATGCGTCAAATATTACTTTAAATTAACAATTTATATATAGTTACGTATACCTTTATGATTTTTTAACATACTGCACTCCAAAATATAGTTGGGTACTCACCGTAATAAATCGAATCCACAAACGGTCTGCTTGAAAGCCAAGCAAACTTTCCTGGATATAAGCTTTTCTTGATTGGACAATATAACAGGGTATCTAATCTCCTTGCCCTCTGAGTCACGTTCTACTTTTCCGTCCAGCGCTGGACTCTTGCGAGCTTCGGCATGCGCATAATCTGGCCCCACAGTATATACCTTTACGTCTGTACCTGTACAAGTCATGAATATTCTATTAAGCAATTAGTCTTATTTTATGTCAATATATTTATAGTTCCATTCTGTTATAGTCTTAATTCAAAGAAGAAATTTGGTAAGGGCGAAAGTTACTAAAATAGATTTAATAAACCCTGCGATGATGGTTGTTGAAGGCGCAACGAATGATAGACTGACTGCGGTTATAAGGCTCTTTATTATTGCACTACATGAGCTTATATATGGGGCGAAGATGAGTGTGTATATATCGATATATAGTTACTATACACACCACAACCCAAACAAAACTACCTTATTAGGTCTAATAATAAGTTTAAGTTTATATCTAGATTGTGTTTAGTTAGCCAGAAGATTTTTTGTTAATATGTATCTATTTAGTTTGAATATTAGGGCTGTTTTCACATGATTTTGGATGTTGGTAATGAGATATAATCCGGGAAAAGGACACACGGCTTCTCTGCGAATTTGGTATGACCATCCAAAGAATGATTTGTTCTAAACAGGTTCTGCGAGCTAATATGATTGGTGGGTACTGTTGTACGGGACACACAAATGTTACAAAATAATTTATTTAACTTTAGTGTAATGTTCTAATTCAACCTAGAGCATAGCAAAGGTCTGATTGCATCCAAAATGGTTTGTAGGTCATACTACGATTATTTTATTCATCATCAGCCTCTTTATGTCCCCGCTGCTGGGGCACAGGCCTTCCCTATGGATGGAATAGGGAGATTGGGCCATGACCCACCACGCGGGCCCAGTGCGGATTGGCGGATGCTAACGATTGCAGATGCAACCGGGACCAACGGCTTAACGTGCCTTCCGAAGCACGGAGGAACCCGAGATAGAAATTTTTGGTCACCCATCCAATAACCGACCACTGCGAAAGTTTCTTAACTACAACGATCGCAGCCGAACGCGCTAACCGCCTGCGCCATCGAGCTCCTCATATTATTTTATTGGAGGATATTATTTCATATTTCATTTATACCTGCTATCAAGTTATTACAGAGCGGATTCTACATCTTGATACAGATACAATATTAAAGATAAGATTTAATATGTTATCTAATCATTGTTTGAGTGATTACTGCAAAGTACAATCGGACTGACATACTGTAGCTTGGTCTGTCTTTCATTATTACAATGTTTTTATTTTGTAAAGACAACCTTCTTACCATCAGTAGGCATAAAGTCTTCGTAGATGAAAGAACCGGTTTTACGAACACGAGATTCTGGTGAATAAATACTGCTACGGCTTCCTATCTGGAATAAAAAACGATTATGTCAGTTAACTCAATACACCGGATTTAAATAAATTTTGCAATTTATTAACAATCACTAACAAGCCCGCCGGACGGGGCCTTCCGAATATTCCGCATAAATTTAAAAATCTCGTAACGATACAAAACTTTTGTTAACAGGTTAATATTAAGAAAAGGCTATCATATTTATAATAAGATTAGTGTTATAGCGTCCATTTTCCATAAACGCATGTAGTAGGTACCTAGATATTTTGCAAATATTATAGTTGCTAACGTTGATCTTACAAAAAGATAACGAACTACAAAGATTACTTTGTGATTATACAAGGCCCCGTTTCAGACTATAAGGTTAACATTCCTTCTGCCCAGTTAAAGTCTCTATTTTTTTCTATAACCCTTATTAAGGTTTGATAGGGGATACAAAGAAGTACGTATAATGATACAGATATATGTATATTTTTTGTAGTAATATATTACCTAGATATTTTGCAAATATTATAGTTGCTAACGTTGATCTTACAAAAAGATAACGAACTACAAATATTACTTTGTGATTATACAAGGCCCCGTTTCAGACTATTGAAAGGTGATTTTCGTGCCACCTCTCTTCAATCCGTTGTCAGTTCATGTAATTTGCACATCCTTCCACTTAGCGCTACCCATCATTTCCCTAATACTACTCCCTCACTTCTCGACTTATTAATAGTATCTTCTCCTCAACATGTTATGAAGCACGGTCAATGTGCGGCAGATGCATTCTCATATCATGACTTGATTTTCTTATCATACAAGATTCGTCCTCCTAAGCCCAAACCCAAAGTCATTCTTCAGCGGATTTTTGGTGGAATAGATCAGGAGGCGTTGCTCAAAGACCTGCATGATGTCGACTGGTCCTTAGTGACTACCGCGGCTACAGTTGACGAACAAGTGCATACTTTTAACAATATTATAACCAAGCTTTATGATAAACATGAACCGTTTCGTCCCATTAAGCTTAAGCACCATCCAACACCTTGGCTCACATCAGACATAAAAGCATTGATGCACAAGAAGAACGTGGCTAAGTGTAAGTATAAAATTCGTCCGACAGACTCTAATAAAAACACCTATGCAAAGGCTCGCAATCACTGTAACATGGTGTGTAGGGATGCTTTGCGTCGCCATATTCATGCATCTGTCAGCAAAACTGATCCGTCTAAAGTGTGGAACTTCCTTAGGTCACTTGGAATTGGTGAACCTCGTCAAACGTCTTTTCCTAGCAACGTCGATGTCAATTCACTTAATGTTCATTTCTCTGTATCTTCTAGTCTCAGTGATTTGCACAAGGCTAATACTATTAATATTCTTTCATCTTTACCAGTTCCAGACTACTCCCCTTTCATCTTTACTCAATTTTCCGAATGTGACATTAAAAAGAGCATGCTATCCATTTCTTCCAGTGCGGTGGGTAATGATAGCATTAGTCGTAATATGCTGATACCTATCTTAGATATAATCCTTCCAATCCTCACATTTCTTTTTAATAGCTCTATAACAAATGCTGTTTTTCCATCGGCTTGGAAAGAGGCCCAAATCATCCCTTTGCCCAAAAAATCTAATCCTCAATTTCTTGCTGATTTTCGGCCTATTTCTATCCTTCCTTTCTTGTCTATAGTCCTTGAACGTCTTGTCCTTAACCAATTCACTACATTCCTGTCTCGTCATAATCTTTTTAATCCTCTTCAATCCGGTTTCCGTCCTGGGCATAGTACTACGACTACCCTCCAGAAAATTACAGATGACATACGCCGTGGGCCATCCCACGGCGTCCATCCATCCATCCATCAAGGTCATCTCACAGTATTGACGTTATTGGACTTCAGCAATGCATTTAATACTGTAAATTTTGACATTCTTCTGGCTTTGCTGCGCTCTCTTAACATATCTCCATCGGCAATTGAGTGGTTTCGCAGCTATCTGCAGGGACGCAGGCAGAGGGTTCGCCTCGATGAGATTTTTTCCTCATGGAGCGACACTTCTGCTGGTGTTCCCCAAGGCGGCGTTTTATCTCCTCTTCTCTTCGCTATATTTATTAATTCTATTTCCAATAATATTTCTTCTTCCTACCACCTGTATGCAGATGATCTTCAAATTTAGAGGCAAGCCCCTCTCGGTCAATTATCCGAAGCAATACTGGTGTATTGTATTGTATAACAACTGTGACTTAGACAAAATTTTTTCTATTCATAATATAAATATTTACCCCACCGGCATTCGAACCCAGGCCTCTATGTCAACGACACCTTGAAAACCGCCGTACATACACTCCACTACGGAGGTCGTCAATCCTATGTATGCGTTTAAGGGTAAACCTCGCTTCATGAAATTTAGACTTTGCTATCTCATAATTTTACAGTTCAAAGAAAATCACAAAGTAACTTGCAAATTGAACGTTTATTCAAAAATAAATTGAATCGAAGCCTGTTTGAAGATATTTAATCTTTCAAATGGCAAATAGGAAATTATTGAATTTCAGTTGCAAATTGATAAAAGTTTAAGATTTATATTATATGGCCTGCGCAGACAAGGGACTTTAGTCCTCCAACATACCTAGATCGCTTACAACTTAATCCAGTAATGCACACGGATGGCGAATAAAAAGTACCGCGTACAAAGGGTGAGAATATGTACTTCAATAGCGTGCGATTTTCAAAAATTTGCGTTGTGCGTTGAGTCCGAAGTAATTCCTCGGCGGACATTGTTTTCACGATTCAGTGGCTTTAGTCCTCCACGGACAAAAGTCCTTTATCTGCGCAGGCCATAACTGAGATTCTGTACATAAGGAAGGAAGAAAGGAAGGAGTTAAAAATGTCTCAAATGTCGTACCTTTCTAAACAATCGTTGGCTTCCCCCACCCGCGGAAGTGGGGTAATAGATATAAATGTTATGATCCTCAGCTGACACTGGTTTCTCTACGAAAGGTTTGTTGAAGACAACGCCATTCACTTCGACATGATCCTCAGACTCTACTAATTCATGATCTAAACAGCATAAGAGAACTACATTGTAATATTAAAAATATTCCTAAATACACTGAGAATAGAGATCAAACAATCACTTACGTTTAGGATCTGGTGAATCTCTATCTAAGACGGCATATCTCGGTATTTCGATGCCCTCATTTTCTAAAATTGCATACACTCTTCTGCGATCCTGAAGTAAATATTTTCAAAGTCAATATTAATATTAATACAATGTTTAATGTCGCCAACTGTACATACCTGTATATCATACTGCATATGTAGATTATTTATGACATAAGGCTTCCTTAACTTTTCATATTGAATGGCTTTATCTAATGGAAATCCTTTGGAGTGAAATGATATTAAACAATCACATATAGGCCACTCTTCCACTGGTTTCTAAAAATTTATAAGAAAAACATATGAATTTAAATCGTAAATGAATAAAATTGTTAGTATAGGTACACATAAGCGTAAAGTCTGAGCATATTCTAAAGAATATTCAGGGGCTTCACCAAAGATATATCCTATTATGCACATACTTATATAATGAGGGCTCGCAACCGGACACCAATCGCGGTAAACAAAGCAAGAATAAATGACAGAAGCTGTTCAAAGAAACCATTGCCACGTTCACAGACAAAGTATGTACTTTCTTATGTGAGAAATACCAACAGATTTTTTATAAATATTGAAATAATAAAAAAATAAGGGTTAATTACAGAACTCTACAATACACAAGGTGAATAGTGAAACAAAATAAAGTATAAAACATTAACATACATATAAGCAAAACTGAAATGAATACATTACTTTTAGAATATAAACTGGACAGATTGATTGACACCAAAACAATTTTTAGTAAAGCAAAGCAACATTTAAATGAATGACTTGAAAATTCTGAAATTGAGTACATACAATCACATCAAAGATAGAAAAATCGAAAAAAGATATGACGGGAAAAGCTTTTTCAGCTTATACATAGTTATTTTGTTCCACTATAAATGTTAGATATTTGGGAGAACCTTGAGGATAACCTCCTCAGGGAAGACGAGCATTTTAATGTACTCAAACTCATCGAGACGCGTAAGAATCTCCTTCATCGGCTTCGACTGCGACTTCTTGGCCATGGCGCACACGCCGACCACCACCTTCTTGCCACCGCCATCGCACTGCGGGTCCAGAGGGTCGCACAAATCTAATTCGCCCTGAAAAATATAATACACCTTTGGTAATCATACAAAATAAAATCTAAAAGGGATCTCTTTAAACACTAATATTTCTAATTAACTGATATCTGTTTTTTTAGTAGAATAGGGAAAATGGCCCATGGGTATAATCCTTACTAATATTATAAAGGCGAAAGTTTGTTTGGATGGATGGATGTTTGCTCCTCTTTCACGCAAAAACTACTAAACGGATTTTAATGAAACTTTACAGTAATGTAGCTTATAGATCAGAATAACACATAGGCTATAATTTATAAAGATATTGTGTGAATTGTCCAAAATATAACGATAAATGTCATTTAAGTCTGAAAAAATTCTGCAATCTGCGAGCTATTCAGGCGTGTAAGGATAAAATTGTCTAAAAAATATCCCGCAACAGCATATGTCTATCTTTTATGGTTGACTCACAATAAAGTCATTCTTTATAGCACAAGCCTGAGAACAAAAAGTATAGTTTACACTACAGCTCTACACCGAAGCGAAGCGAGGGCGGGCCACTAGTAACTAATATATACCAAGTCAGGTCATAAATTCTGTCACATGTTTAATATAAAATAATTGAAACAAGTTTATTCATTATGTAACCATTTATATACCAAAATGAACTTAACAAAACATAGGTTCTTATGACAATAAAGTTTATTCAAAATGACCTTAGTGATTTTGAATACAGGCCAATTCAATCTGCGCGGCCAGTCATCTATCGCAGCACGAACGAGGTCCATGTCAATATCGGCGGCTGTCTTAATCAAGGATGTCTTGAGTGACTCCAAATTGGAATGAGGCTATGAGCACGCCTTTTCCTCCAAGTGTTGCCATATCTTGTAATATAACGGACTCAAATCTGGACTGGTGGAGGCCAGTCTTCGTGCCGGATGAAGTCGATTTCACGCGCCGCCAGCCAGTCTTGTGTGCTCTTCGCTCTGTCAGCTGCCGCCGAATCTTGTTGGTTATTGAACATGGTATGAGAAACAGGTTCCACAAGGTTCGTCAGGACTGTATTTTGATAAACAACTGCATTCGTTTTTACACCTTTCTCACAAAAATGTACCTCTGTTAAGCCCCAATAAGAAACTCCCAACCATACCATGAGCGAGGATGGAAAATGACCTCGTTAGACACGCGGAATACGGTTGCTCGCTTCTTCACTACTGTTTGCGTACACCTTATCATTTTGTTTGTTGTAGCTCTCTTCTACGGTAAAAATTTTTTCATCCGAAAAAAGAATTTCCCGATATTTTTTTCCTGGGTACCGCTTCAACAAAGCGTGGCATCTCTTCATTCTCAGGTCCATTAGACGAGCATTCAAACGATGTCCTGTTTTTCTTCGATATTCCCGAAGCCCTAAGTCTTCATTTAACACCCTTTTCACCGTGGTTCTGCTTAACCCCATCTAAAGGGCCAGCAGTTTCTACTTACGTTTGGGATTTCTTTGAATTCGCGCCTTCACAGCTTTTATCACTGCTGGAGTCCTAACAGACCGAGGGCGACCACTTCTCGACCTGTCATCTACACTAGAGTCTTCATTGTATCGTTTGATGGTATGATAAACGAATCTTTTGGTTATATTCAAATTTTTCAGTAGGCGCGTAATCGCAACGATGCAACGCAATAACTGCAACTCGGTCTTCTTTAAGTGTCCACTCCATATTTAAAAATGAGTAAAATTCTAAAAAGTATACATTTTTATTTTCATGAACAATTCGAAATTCGAATTAAATAAACTTTTCTGTGGCCAGCATTCTAAATGCAAAGTTTTTACTGTGTGACAATACTTATGACCTGACTGTGTACATTTCTTCGTATGTTGCTATTTCAACTCACTATCGCCATATGGCCTATCATCAAAAGTCATCAATGATCCAGGATTCAAACTCATGACCATTGGAACAGAAGTAGTGTTGTCCAAGCACTAACAGTATGTTTTCGTTTACTCATGTGCAAACAGCTTGTAAAAGATACTTTTAAAAATTAGAATATATAAGTAAATGATGTCAGCCGAACCTTAAGGACATGTTTTAGCATGAAAATTTAAACCATGAGGATGACTATAAATGAGGCATGAATTAATTCTATAGTGTGAGTGATAATTAATGCCTTTTAAGTGATTTGCCTTCATGTAATGTGTCTTATTCTATGAAGAAATCTTTAAAATGTCAGCAAAATTCCTTGATGTTATACTTCCAGACTACTTCACAAGTCAAGACAGTTTTTATTTATTTTATTACTAGTAATTAAGAAAATATTGAAATAAAAACGAAATTGGATATTTAAAAAACTCCCTATACCCAACAATAATCTAATGAGTTAGTCAATTCAAGTCAAAGCTATTATACAAGTAGGAGGAAAATGATTAGAGTGAGCACCCAACAGATAAAGTTTTCGACTTCTTATACCTATCAATTATAATGGAAATAATATCTACTTCTTTAGAGGTCCTCCAACTCAACAACATTTGGATTATACTATTACTAAGTAGTTATAATAACTTCAAAGGACCAACACATTTAATTTTTTCACTTTTTAGATTATTTTTGGGAGTGGGTTTTTTAATTTAAAGTATATTTTTTTTAATAATTAGATATAAAAAATAATATTTAATGTAAAATATGGTAGTGTTAATGATTTATTTTATATAAGCCTATTCATGAGGGTGGCAGGTTGTGTGGGGTGGTAGAAGCCATATAAAGGCATTTGTTACCGACTAGTATCTTGATTTGATTTACTAATACATAATTCTATCATGTGCAAACTTTAAGTGGCCTGGGGTACCAGATTTTAAAACACACTCCAGTATTTTGTAATATGTGGATAGTGTTGGAATAAAACCACAAACAAAATTAAGAACGGGACATGCAATCAATGATGAAGCAACATATAAAAGTAACTTTTTAAGGTCCTATAAATTATGATAAAAGCTCATGAGCTTAGTTATGAATGTGAAGTCATTTCAGATAATAGTATATTCTTACATCAGGCAAACACTCATCACAGTAACAAAACTCATCATCATTTTCCTCTTTCTTCTTTTTACTCCTCCATCTTTTGAGCCGCCACCAATCTTTTAACCACTGCCACTCCATATCCTCACAACAATTGCTTATGTTTCTATTATCATGATTGTAAAAATCACTGATAACTAATGGAAGTGACCTTGCAAATGATTGGCTTATTATACTTCACACATGATAACTAAAGATAAACTTGACATACATTAACATATTACATTACCTCAATTGTCATTGTCAGAGATACTTAGCTTCTAATAATGTGCTTGTGTTAAGGATATTAAGTGTACTAGAGTGGCCAAATTAAAATGAATCTGTTTAAATATGTTGTTATCAGGAAATTCATACTGTGTAAACTACAGTGATAAGAAACAAATGTGTCGACAAAGCTAACTAATATAGTAAGACACTATTACTTGAACTGTAAAGAAGTATTTATAATAAGCTTTGATTGATGCTATAGGAAAACTAGTCAAAATATTATGCATTTATAAAATCTTAGCAAATATGTAGCTAAGTATGAATAACATTAGTTAGTTAACAAAAAGGATTCTGAATTGTTATTATATGTGATTAACGCTCACCGTTGATCTTATTGGAACAAGGTTACCGTCTTCCCCAACATAAAACTGTGGTTGGCGAGACGCTTGTCGCAACCCTTGATATCCATGTTCCAGTTCAGTATAAGACATTACCTACATACATCAAAATTTATTAATAATGTCCGAATTTATTAGATGGGCTAAAAGTGTCAGTACGCAATTAGTCAATTCATTTGACAGCAGGTAGAAGTCAGCCAGAAAATTAACTTTTTACGAAAATTATTACGAAAACTTGGACAAAAACAAAGGTACGTTCTAAACTTACGCTCTAGATCTAGCACAGAGATACTTGCTCCCAATATAAATTTTGACAAATTCATACATTTGGTGTCAAAATTGAAACGTCAGGGCAAAAAATTTATTTCAGAGCGTAGGTTTTGAACACAGATCAGATGAACATTTTTTTTTAGTTCAATTCTTCTCTAATGAGAAAGACAAAGGCAAAGCCTTGCAGCCATCGTCTTGTTTTTGTATTAATTATTCTTTTTTTTTTATATTAGAATGTCGGTGTGACGCATTCTAATGCTTCTTGGAGTGTTTGGCACGAAATATATCGAGTTGATAGTTATAACACAAAATCACAACAATTTTATTTCACATTGGTGTCGATTCTAGCATGATTCTCTAAACCTAAACTTAAATTTGACAGCAGTATATCCTTGTTATTCTCTATACAGAATGAAAAGGAGAGACTGATGTTAAATTTAGTTTTAAGTTTAGAGAATCACGCCAGAATTGGCACCAATATCCACTGTAAACGAATTTAAGAATAATTAAAATAAGATACCAATAGCACTCGATGAAATCCCGCCAAAAACTCACTGTTTACAAGTTAATTGAAGTGTTGCCATTACAATCACAGATTACAGAGATTTTATGCTACCTCTATGGTTTACACTTTGGCTTGCCTGCAGGTCAATTATGCTTTAGTGATATAATCCCAATGTGATGTCAATATGATGTTGATGCCAAGTTGATATTGGTGTCGATTCTACCATGATTCTCTAAACCTAAACTTAAATTTGACAGCAGTATATTCTTGTCATTCTCTATATGGCGGATCTCTATGTGGCGGATGGGAGGTACCGGCTTCGGCCAGCGTGGACCAAACCCAGCTGTGGAAACCTGGATGGCGTCCTGGGTATCCCGGGTAGTGGCAGTCGGGTCAAGCTCGTAACCCTGCACATAGTGCGGGGCCGAGGGCCGCCGTCTGCAAAGGAACTGTTTCGTTTGGAGGCGGGGGCTGCGAGGAAGACAACCTCTCAAAAAAATCACCCGACGGGACTCTCGGCCGGCGCCCTGCGTAGCCCGGGTAGCGGTGATCGAGACTCTATAGGTCGAGGTGGAAACGCCATCGGTGAGGGCGGTGGCGGCGCGAACTCCGCGTCGCCTCCGGCCAACCCGTAACCCCACACGTGGTGTGGGGCTGGGGGCCGCCGTCCTTCGGGGCGGGGGCTGCAAGGAAGAAAACCTTTTCAAAAATTACCGTTTGATGAGACCAGGTAGGGTTCCCTCGCCCGTAAGAGGGAAAACCTTTATGATAATGTCGACCTTTGCTTTTTGTATGTCATGCGCTCCCGTTGACGCCAGGCGCTCTGGGGTAGCTGGGCCCCAAGTTGAGAAGTTTGTAACTAGCGGCCAATGCGCTCCGGCTGGCCACCGGTGCTGCGGGATTACCGGGTCCGGCAGTGGTAAATTAGTTACCGAGGCGATGGAGGGAGGAAAAGGTAAAGGCCTGTTATGCCTTAGAGGAGGATGCGATGACTACGACGAGGATCCGGGGATTGCACCCACACCCCCCAAGATCCACACTGCTCGTCGGGGGAGGAGAAGGGCGGCGAAGGAACGCAAGGATCCTCCTCCAGTGGTCCAGGAGGAGAAAAGCGAGAAGAAAGAAGACGATGAAACATACCTGGAATTGTTGGCAGGAAAGGATGACGTCATCAGTGAGATGTCCGAAGAGCTAGAAAAAACCTACGGCGCCGAACTAAAAGCCAAGAGGTCCCTAGCCAGGTGCGTCGCGGAGATCGAGGGGCTTAAGAAGCAGGTGAACGAGTGCACCAAAGAAAATAGGGAGTTGAAAGCGCAGGTGGAGAGATTGAGGCACTCTCTTTCCCCGAAAGACATGGAGAAGAGAATACTCTCACCGGCTAGGGCAGAAGCCGCTACGATGTCGGTGGAGCCTGCCGTGGAGAGCGTTGAAACTGGGATGGAGCTGGCGGCCTTGCGAAAGGAGCTGGAGGAGCTGCGGAAGCAGATGAGGGAGGGGTCGCACCCTGCGTCTTCTCAAGCCGCTGTCCAGTGGCTGTCTTATGAGTTAACCATTTGTGCTGAAGAGTTCAAGAAAGCAAAGGAGTATCATTATGAAATTTAGAACAACATTATAATTATAGATGCGATATAAATTACTGTTTTTAGCAAAATAAATAATAATATTTATATGATAAAGTTATATGTGTATTTCAATTTCACCAAAATTTTATTTCAATATATATTTTATCTTCAAATTAATAAAGTTATTACTTTCCATGATCAGTATTTAGTCAGATTAGCTTTAATTCTGTATTAAAATAAACATGACAAAGCACTTCTCAACATGCTTGTACCTCTTATGAACAAAATTTGTCATTAATCTTTTTAATAATCTATTTCGAATTCATTTATACTAATTCACGCACTATTTATACATGTATCAAATGTTAAAAGAGAAGTTCGCTTTCTATTATGCACTATTTGGGATACGCTTTCATGACGCCAGCCCCAAATGTTATTTATAAGTCTTGTTATATATCTTTGTTCCCTTATGAGCTACGATTATGAAATTGCATAGTGTGGGCACTATTAGAGCACTATTTGCTGTGAAAATTTGGTTACATAACAATAAACCGTTTTTGAGAATGGTGGTGTACGCTACCTTGATCGTCACACCAGCGTACACCATAAAACAGTAATTATTTCCTACAGAAAAGAGGAAGTTTTTTATTATTATTGCACTAATTAAGCACTATTTATTAGCAAAGTTACAATGATGTCGATTCTGTCATGATTCTCTAAAGCTAAACTTAAATTTGACAACAGTGCATCCCTGTCATTCTCTATACAGAATGAAAAGGAAAGACTGATGTTAAATTTAGTTTTAAGTTTAGAGACTCACGCTAGAATCGACACCAATATCAAACTAGATGTGGCGTACAATGGCATGACGGTGCATCTTTTTACCCTGAAGTTTCAATTTTGTCATAATGCATGAAGCTAATTGGTATGATTTTATCTAAACTTAGATTTGACAAAGTGCATCGTAATCGTAGATTTGAAAGCAACCCTGCCAATCTTCCCATTTGGTCTTTGAAGTACTATTAGATACTAAAACTGTTGGCCGAAATGGAGAAATTCACGACCGTAAAACTTATAAAAAAAAAGAGTGAGTTTTTGGGTGCGGCCAGAGTGCACTCAGATTCAGATTTAGATTCTGAAAACAAGCGCGAGAAATAAACAGTGTAGTCTAAGCAGGTTGCCTGCTTTTTCTCGCGCTTTGGGTGCGGCCAGAGTGCACTCAGATTCAGAGTCAGATTCAGATTCTGAAAACAAGCGCGAGAAATAAACAGTGTAGTCTAAGCAGGTTGCCTGCTTTTTCTCGCGCTTTGTTTTCTGAGTCCGAATCTGAATCTGAATCAGGAGTGCAATCTGGCCGTACCCTTCGACTACACTGTTTATTTCTCGCGCTTGTTTTCGAAATCTGAATCTGAATCTGAGTGCACTCTGGCCGCACCCTTTGGCGGGATTTTATCGAGTGTGGTTGGCGTCTTATTTTAATTATTCTTAAATTCGTTCATAGTGAATTTTGTGAAATAAAATTGGTGTGATTTTGTGTTACAACTGTCTGCGTAACTAAAGAATTAGTAGAATCGTCAAAATATACGCTTTTCCGGTCAAGTGGACGTGAGAATTTTATTGTAGTATTGACTACCTCACAGAAGCTTATCGAAAAAGCAAGCTCAATACATTTCGTGCCAAACACTTCAAGAAACATTAGAATGCGTCACACCGACCGACATTCTAATGTAAAAAGAAAAACAGAATAATTTAACTTAAGACTAGGCTGTATGGGCATTGTTCCCCTTGCCTTCCCTGAAAAGGGTTAACTTATCAAAAAAAAAAGTTTGCCCGTCCCAAATTCCCAATTAGGGATGTCGAAAGTTGAGAAAAATATCGATGTATCGATACATCGATCTTTTAAAAAATATCAATATCGGATTCGATATATCGCGAAAAAAACATCGGTATATCGAACCAATTTTCCCAAAAATATCGTACAGTAGCTCACGAAATATCACACGCGGTATTCCGCGTTATTATTATAATGGAACGAAAATTATCTCCCTAAAAATAGACCCTATTTTCGAATGATGACATAGACAACACTAAATACAGCACAGATCATAGATATGTTGAATATCATTAATCTGAGATCCAGTTACGATTTTTCCAGAGACGAATTTAGTTAGATCGTGATATGCCGCTAATAATTAAAAAAAATATCGTTTTTGATATGAATTTCGATATTGGTTATTTTGTATCGATATATCGGATCAAAATATATCGGCAAAAAATATCGATATATCGATACATTTGCAACAAGCCTATTCCCAATAGAGACAACTTGACTGGAAAAAAAGCATTTGATTTTCATTCGCTTCGCTTTGTTTATTTCTTTTTTAAATAAATAAAAATTATGAATAACATGGAGTTTAATAATACTTCTTTAACGACTCACAGTTTTTGGCAATCAATCAATATATTAATTACAAAGTTTAACGTCATAAATAAAAGATTGTGGGGCAGTAAAATTTTACATCATTATTTTTGTGAACCTCCTAATTCAGCATGGATTGCTCCACTTAAATCTATTAATAAGCTGTCAGAAGGTTCTGAGAAATTCTTAGGAAGAATAATTTGCACAGATCTTGAACTCACACATTCACTTACACAGAGTGACAATATTGAAATATTTCTTCTTGAACTACTTCCAAAAAAGTTTTCAGAGGTAAAAGCGTTTCAACTCGTTTGTTTGGACAAGAAGAACTTGACAGCTACGTTTTACAACATCACTCCCGATAATAAAGAAAAAAATTGTAACCTATGCCCTAACTTTACATATTCATTATCTCTTGAAAATGATAATCTTATGTTGAAAACCAGTCCAGGTTAGTAGTTTTCATCTTAATGTAAATGTCTAAATTGCATAAAGAATTATTTTACCTTGTGTAGAAGAACAATATTCAGATTCCAGTGCAAAATCACTTAAATGGCTGGTGGATACTGTGATTCCACAATTCCTCAAATGGGGGAGAAATGGAGCTGAACAGAAACAAACTTTATTCAAAGAATCATTACAATTAATATCAGCTGATAATTATTATATAAAATATAATGAACTGAAGCAGAAGTATGGCCAAGAAATGGTTAAGGTAAAGTTTAAAATATATTTTTTCATATCAAGAATTTAAATTTATGTAAACAATTTTGATTTATTTGAAAAATTTTTTAGAATTGGTCAGAAGGGACTGACCCTTCTAAATATGTATATGAAGATATTGCAATAGCAACATACCTATTAATGCTTTGGGACAGTGACAAGGCAACCTGCCCCAAAAAAACATTTGTTGATCTAGGATGCGGGAATGGCTTATTAGTTTACATTTTGACCAAAGAAGGTCATAATGGAGTTGGCATAGATGTAAGAAAAAGAAAAATTTGGGATATGTACCCTAGAGACATAAACTTAGTGGTGAGTTCATTTGCATTTTTTATGTAAAAGTGGAGGACATTAGCCCAGCATTAGTGGGCCTACATTCAGCCTGGCAGCACCATAGTAAGTCAGCAATGTCCATCAGGACACAGTGCTAAGTCCAACATTAATTGAAGCTGTAAAATGTTGAATATAGCAGCTCTACTCTGTGGTGTGCACTCCACATTGCTTCAATAATCAGATTCACATGGGAGTTTATTTCAATGACAATCAAAATTCATTATTTCTAATTTAAATTTGAAACATATTTTGTGGTTTTCAGGAAAAAACTATAATTCCTTCAAATAATAATACGTTTCCTGATGCTGATTGGTTGATTGGAAATCACTCTGATGAATTGACACCATGGATTCCTGTGATTGCAGCAAAAAGTTCATATAAATGCAATTTCTTTCTTCTGCCTTGCTGTGCATTTAACTTTGATGGGACTAAGTATCAAAGAAAAGATTCATCTAAGAGTCAGTATATGGAGTACATAGACTATGTCAAAACAATTTGTGAAAACTGTGGATTTAAAACATGCATAGACCGCCTTAAAATACCTAGTACTAAAAGAATATGTCTAGTAGGGCAAAAAAAATTGTATCCTAAAGAAAAGTATCCCGAAGTTTGCATTAATATACAAAACTTGATACAAAAGGATTTTTCATTATCTCATGATAATAACACATCTTGGGTATTGAATTTCCAACCAAGAAATCATGTTGAAAGAGTACGAAATTGTACACAAATAGACCACACAGTAACAGAAAAGATTGTAGATTGTGTTGCCAAATATTTACTTGAAGGATGTGATTTGGAAACAAAATGGACAATTGGTAAAGAAGTAAAAATTTATGAACTTATAACTTTATTAACAGAGGACAACTTAAAAGCAATGAAAGCAGAATGTGGGGGTCTTCAAACTCTTTTAAAAAACAATCATCATATTTTTAAAGTAGACAATGGAAAAGTTCAAATGAGATATCCAAGAACCATTAAAGAAGTATATGAAAATAATAAAAGTAATCAGAGCAAAATAAAAGTGCAAATAAAACCATGTTGGTTTTTCAGGAACCATCCTAAAGGTTGCCCTTTAACTAATACCACTTGTAGTTATATGCACACTTAAGTAATTTGATAATCAAGAAAAAAACAAACATTCATATAATGAAATGACCAAATTAATTTATTATTAAGTGTTTTGTCAATAACATTTGACATTAAATATAGTTCTGTACATTATATAATATATTACAGATAACAGCAAGATAGTTTTCCCTTGAACTTCAACCCCAAATAGATTGTAATAGAAACCTTTACAAACACCTAACCTATTTATTATAAAGTGACTCCTGTGTAGAACACCAATTAGAGCAATAAGTATATGTATCTACAGTTATTATTCCCCCATATTAAAAATACAGTTTTAACATGTAACATTCAGCTTTACTATTTAGTCTACTCCAAAAAATTTATTTAGTTCAGTTATATTTCTTTCATCCACTAACTTTGCCACATCATGTTCTCCCATAAATGAACAAACCATTCTTAATGTAGTCCAAATTGTAGATGAACTTGTATCAACCGATTTAATATCTGCTTGTAAACTTTTCGATTTAAGCTGTTGGTTTAAAGCTACTAAAAAATGTTCAGCTGCTTCTCTATGAGCTCCCAAGTTCATACAAGTTATTCCTACATTATAACGAGCTCTAATAAAACCAGGTTCCAAATGCAATGCTCTGTGATAAGCTTCAACAGCTTCTTCTGATCTATCACTGTTTGCTAATGTAGCACCAAGTCTATTCCACAATCTTGGATCATCTTCTGCAATACTTAGAGCAGTTTTAAAACAATCAACAGCTTTATCATACTCTTGATTAATATTAAACACAACTCCAAGTGCATTTTGTACATTAGGATCAACTTGATTAGGGTAAATTTGAGCAGCTTTTAGATACAAAGATTTAACATGATTCTCTAAACTTTTCAAATCTAACTTTTTAGGATCTACATCTTGTGGACATAAATCACTGTATTTCGGGCTAGCCTTTAACCAATCCAATAAAGATATGTATGCATACTTGGACATATTTTCGTTAGTATATGCTGCAGCTAGAGTAATGTATGCTTCAAGTTGTCTCGGGTCTATTTCTAGAGATTTCTTCAATGCTGTAATCGCAGCAGGATCCTGTTCATTTTCAGCTTGAGTTGTCCCTAAAAGAAACCATGCTTCAGCTGAATCAGGTGATTGCTGCACTGCTGCTTCAAAACACAAAACTGCTCCTGGGATATCTCCCATTTTAAGCTTTTCTTTACCTATTTCCAGAGCACTCTTATTTTCAAGCATAACATTACCTTCAGTAAAACTATATTCTTTAGCTATTCCATTAGCCTCTTCAGAAGACCAGTAATCTGATACATCACTTAGTTTGGCCCACTCATCTTTATATTTTTCAGTCATTTCATCTAAAATTTCATCTTTGGATTTTTGGTCCCCTGTACCTGTTTCAGTAAAATTTAGTTCACCAGCACTAATTTTTTTCATAAAAGACATAAATTCATTGTAAGCAAGTTCATCATCATTTTTGACACTTTCCACATATTCTCGGGCTTTTGCATGGACATCAACATTAGTTATTTCACTTTCTTCAATATATTCAATTTGCACATTTGACGGTCCTTGGCTACGTAAAACTGGAGTATGTTGCATAACAAAGGGTCTCAACATAGTTTGTGGCATGTGAGAAGTGGACGGTCCAGCACCCCAAGGTATATTTGTTTGCACATTAAAACTTTGAATTGGTACATTTCTACTTCTCGATTCTAAACTGTTATTTATACCATCTACTTTTGGTATATTGTTTAACAGTTTATTCATGTTGAATGTTTGGGGCTCTTGAGAGTTTTGCATCATGAACTCGTGGACAAATCTGTCTGCTTGAGAAAATGTTTTCCCAATAGAGGCATCGCGACCTACAATATTGGAAATCTGGACAAGCGAATTATTACCACCACAATCGCCACCGACTAACTTATTTAAAGACATTGTATTTAGTGCTCCAAAACTAAATAACGATGAACACCTGCCTGCCGTCAGCAATAGTTGTTATTCCGTGATTGATTGAAGAGTCAACAATATAAAATATTATAGAACTAGTATCTCCTCAAAATATAACTACAGTTCAATTTTCAATTACACTCAGATTCTCGGTCGGTATTACGATATCAATTCGCAGAGATCTCGTATGATTTTGTCAATTTGTCTTCACATCACAACACAAAGTCCATAGAATTTTACACTTTAACTGAAACGTCATGTTCAGGGTTGCTGTCCTACAAAAATTTGAGTCTCTAAGAATCATTACAATAATGCCGGTATAAAATAAGTATTTATTTCCACCCGCCACTTTATCCGCGTTATTAAATAATCGTTCAGAAACCTGTCATTTTTCTGTGATGAAAAGTATCCAGGTAATAAACTACATGGTGCCAAATTACATCCAAATTCGTGCAACCATTTTTATGTACATTTTGGCTGCCCATGTTTGAGTTTTAATTATTATTAATAATTCTTCTTTGTTATAGAAACCTAAATGTTTATTTACGAACATCACACGCTATAAATTAAACGCAATCCAATGGTAATGAATGTAAGTAGTCTAGTCGTTTCTATTTATCCGTTCATGTTTTGGTAACACCGTATTACAGTACCCTTAGTACGAGTTTGAACTCACGAAAACTATCATAGTTTTCATAATTGTAAATTATGTTTCCATGTCCATTATGGTGAAAAGTAAGCAAATATACTTAAAATTTAACAAAACACAAGTGATTTAATGATAGAATTTAAACACTGTTTATTTGTATTGAAACGAAAACAATAAAATCAGTACCCTTAGTACGAGTGACTCGTACTAAAGGTACTATTCCGTGCATCGCGATCGATCACGGCCGCGCGCGGCCTACGACTGTCGTCGGTCGTTCGCAACAATAGTCATAGTATGAAAATGTATGGCACCGCTTCCGAGGCTCGCGACAGACGCGCGCGGCGCGGCCGGCGACTATCATGAGCCGCGTCAAGGAACGCAAGAGAAAACTTGCGAAACTAACTGTTTTTCATCACAATACAAATGCTTTTGAATCAATATTTGGTAGTATTCTTCTTCATTGCTGCTATTAAAGATACGGTCGATTGGTTCTCTTTTTTCATAATATAACAACAGCAGCTCGTCATCCTCCTCTTCTTCTTCAAGAATGTTAATTAGCACTTCGACCATGATTTTGACTTCGGTAGACACACGTTTAGAGGGATCTGCCGAACAACACCGACGAAGTTACGCTATTACACCGACTAACTTTGAGACACGGCCGCGTGCGGCTCACATTCGTCGGCTGCGCGCGTCTGTCGGAAGCGGTGCCATACATTTTCATATTATGATTATTGTCGCGAGCGATCGACGACAGTCGGAGGTTAACACTGCATGTATTATACATTGATCTGGGTTTTAGAAAACTGTTACAGTTAATATATTGAGAGGATAAGCTACGGGAATTAATCAACGTAAAACTTCAGTCATTTGATAGAGTCTGTGCGGAAAGAGAATGGGCGTGGCGAAAAACGGAACAAACTAGAAGATTTTTATTTGGCAATCAAACCCAGCAATCTGTAAAACGTCAAAGTTTTGCATTGATACGAATTGGTTTTTTGGTGTGATTTCTAGCGGTTTCTTGTATTTAATCATGTCTAAAAGGGGTAAAACTTTACAAATACGGTAAAAAAGCACTTCAGCGCCCTCCAATCTAAATCCCATTCTCTTTCCGCACAGACTCTACTTGAACTGATCCATAAGCGGCCTACTTACATGCCTGCCGCAGGGACAATCTAGGGTGTAAGAGTAGGGATGACCCTTAATTGAGATGAATTGTGATGTGTGTAGTCAAGTTGGGGCGATTTTCTAAATCGGGCCTGCGGCAGAGCGGCAGGAGTGCGAGACCACCCTTGGTCCCAAGATTGTCCCTACCTCCCTGGACGTTGCCGCGTGTGTAGCGCGATTGAGGCAATTTCTCAATTTCAATCAGTCGGTTGGTAGGTGTCACACGGAGCGCCATATTTCGATCAAGATGGCGGCAGATCATAATGAGCATGAAATTTAGACACGAGTGATCGAAGTATATAAAGATCGGCCCCACATGTGGGATAAAAAAAAACATTATTGATTTTTTTTAAAATTTTAATTTTTTGAATATTCAACTGCAACTGCTCGATATTTAAATCTAAAGAAAATATTACTAGAAAAATAACGTTACGTACATGCTTAAAAAATTAAAATTATAACTTTCGTTGCTATTTCTTCTTTCAAATGTTTAATACTTGTAAAGGTATCAATTTGACATTGTGGGTTACTTATAATGCGAAGAGATTGCGCTGCCTTGCAGCTTAAGAAAGGCTAGATAGAATTCGATACGGCCGTCAGGGCCGCGGTAGCATAATTAATCAGTGCATTCGCCCGGATAGCGAAGGGTGCGGGTTCGAGTCCCGTCTGCTGCCTGGACCGCGTGGATTTTTTCTAATTATATAAAAATTACTTATTTACAATACATTTCTTTCTGTTGCCAATTCTTCACCCAGTATTTCCATTTTTGGGGTAACACCATAGAAAAAGCCAAGGCCCTGCCTACCGATCTTCTGATTTTTTGATAACACTGGGACCATCATCAACGCGTGTGTTTAGGTCAACATACTCCCGAACACTGAATAGCAGGCATGTGTGATATAGAGATAAGCCGATATTGCCTCGACCGCCGTGCACCCTAGATTGTCCCTGCGGCAGGCATGTCAGTGGGTATTTATAGTGTCACCACAGTGTATGGTACTCTGAATAAGGAATCATAAGGAAATGACACGAAAACCTATACATACATAGCTACATTGTAATTTGGTATAGAAATTACAAAAATAGTGTTGTCTTATAATGATAAAAACTTGCTTAGCTAATTTTTTCTTTTCAGTCCACTATAGCCAAATTGAGTAACTTAAGCACAAGACCTGTACTAATGTATACACATAATATTCTTGAAATGGTAAGTAAAGTATTCTATTTATATTTCGGTTGTTGCATAGGTATATTTTAGACTTGCAACGAATATTCGGTTACTATTCGGCTGCTTTTATTATATTCGGCCGAATACCGAATTGCTACATATTATTCGGCCGAATACTTAAATAATATATTTTGTCATAGAGAAATAATTGGTAAAAGGAAAAATTTAAATCGATTGATTACGTATATATTCATATTTTCATTTCTGTTATATACAGGGTGAAATTGAATGTTTTAATGAAACTTCGTGGGAATGTTGGGTTACGTATATAGAGTATCTCTGAATTTTTTCGGATTTTTTAAAAAATGATTTAAAATAAAATTTTGTTTTTTTTTTTGTTATATTTTAAGTCCTTTCCTCCTTTTGGGTACTAAATAATTATTCTTTTAAAACATGCATACAGAGTAAGTAAAAAACAAGTAATAAGCACTACTAAAAAAGACGTAAAAACAGGAGACGGGCGGCCGGGAGCAATGACCGCTCCCGCCGTTGAATACCTTCCTGCCTACCTATCTAGGTATGCGCGGTGCACAGCGCAGCGAGCGGAGTCTCAAGCGCGCGTGCGTATCTTTTAAATTTGTGACAAGACAAGATTTGCAAATAATGCCTTGATTAGTTCTTGTTCTGTGCCCTCAATATAAGAATTTGGATATGGTGTGTTGTTATTGCGAGTGTCACGGAATACTCAGCAGAGCCACAAGGCTTTACGAAAGTAGGTTTGGTGATTTATCGGGAAGTCATAGAGAAAAAAATGAATAGGTACATCGGTCTCGTAAGTACTTTTGAATACCTGGTAATAAATTTCATTCTGACCCAAGTATTGAACTGCAATAAGTATTTCTTTTTGTTTAACTTTTGCCTATTTCCAATCGTGACAAAATTATTATTAACTTTTTAAGTTTTTCTCTGCTTAAGAGAAGATGACATTTGTGCTTATTATTTCAATTTCAATAAAGGCATCTAAGACGATTTTATTGTATTGTGTGGAATCAAACGAGTCAGCTGAGCTCTGTGTACGTACCTACTCACTCAACGGCTGGCGGGCGCGGTCGGTCGTTGACCCGCGGTGGAATTTTACTGTTTTTCCGTTTTTTAGAAGTGCTTATTTATTAGTTGTTTTTCACTGGATATGTAAGCATGTTTGTTTAATATGAATAACTACTCAAAAGGAGAAAAGGACAAAAAAATACACAAATTATAAATAAATACAGGAAAAAAAAATACTTCAAAAAAATCCGAAAAAAATCAGGCATACTCTATACTCGTAACCCAACAATCTCACGAAGTTTCATTAAAACATTCAATTTCACCCTATATAACCATTAAGTAGTCATTGGTACATAACATACAACATTTGTAGATACATAATCTTCTGAATTGGAAAAATGGAGGATTCTATGTATTTGAATTATTGTGGTAATCAAAATTTAGAAGGATAAGGTTCTCATTTCTTTTATAAATCATTTATTAAGTAGTCATTGGTACATAAAACAGGTACATAATTTAATCATGTTCTGTATTAAACAAGTTAAGAATTTTTCCATGCATTTGAATTATTTTCTAAATCAAAATTTAGAAGGGGAAGGTTATGGTGCAGAAAGACTAACTTTTCTGCATTTTTAGGAAATAGTTTACTTCTTTTTCTCTCGTAGACCATCCCAGCTTCAGAGATAAAACTGTTCTCATGATTTAATTAATATCTCACAAACAACATTACAAGATTCATGGTCCAGGTTATGGGTGGAGAGTAATAAATCAAAAGCTAAGTACTATCGCTCATTACAACCAACTTTACTTACTAAACCATGGTTTTCCAAATTAAGGTTTAGTAAATCAGTTACTACAATTTTAATTCGAATGCGCCTCGGACATGTTTGTACTCCTGATCGTTTGGCAAAATATGGTATAATAGATACGTTCACATGTGAATGTGGCGAGGTTGATGCTGACGTTAACCATATTTTCTTTTCCTGCCCCAGATATGACAGAACCGCCTTTTTAGATTCATTGAAGCAAGCAGCAACAGCGAATATACCTTTTCCTACGTCCATTCCTTCTCTTCTATGTAATATTAATCCTGATATAGGTATACAATGGTACCAATTCTAGCGTGATTCTCTAAACTTAAAACTAAATTTAACATCAGCCTCTCCTTTTCATTCTGTATAGAGAATGACAAAGATATACTGCTGTCAAATTTAAGTTTAAGTTTAGAGAATCACGCTAGAATCGACACCAATGTTTATCCAAGTTTATCAGAAAAAATGATATAAAAATTTAGTTTATCTATATATTTATATTTTTACTATAGTTCCCATTATTTACCTATATTTCCCTACATACTTAACTGTTGTTCCTTGTTCTTGTTTATCGCAAATTTCCCTTTTTTTACCCGACTGCGCAATGCAAGAGCGCGAAGCGCGACGCGCAGACAGGGTATAGTGTTTAACAGTCTATATATGTATGTTTGTTCCTTTGTGGCACACTAGAGACCAAACGCCTGAACCGATTTTGATGATTCATACATCAATCGATTCGTCTCAATCATAGGAGTGCTACTAAAGATATGATATGATATTTACCAAAATTCAATATGTGGAAAATTATTCGCCATATTGTGACGAAGTAAAAAAAAAGTTGATAAAATATGTCGAGTGGGGTATCATTGTCTAAATAATCGAAAATCCTATTTAAGTTTCTAACATTATTTTTCATTTTATATGATTGTTTATTTCTTGTTCATATCGTTTCCTTATTTTTTCTCATCTGCAACTACCACATATCCAAGTACCAACTATCCATATTCCGCTCCTTTAATCGATTAAGTTTAATCGATTTGGTACCCAATTACATCAAATGAAACTTGTATTGGGAGTTTTTGGCGGAATTTCATCGAGTGCGGTTGGCGTCTTATTTTAATTATTCTTAATCGTTCATAGTGGATATTGTGAAATAAAATTGGTGTGGTTTTGTGTAACAACTGTCTGCGTAACTGAAGAATTAGTAGAATCATTAAAATATACGCTGTTTAGGTCAAGTGGACGTGAGAATTTTATTGAAGTGTTGACTACCTCACAGAAGCTTATCGAAAAAGCCAACTCGATACATTTCGTGCCAAACACTCCAAGAAACATTAGAATGCATCACACCGACATTCAAATGTAAAAACAAAAAGAAGATTAATTTAATTGTTCCTTTTGCCTTCCCTAAAACGGGAGAACTTCAACAAAAAAAAAAGAGTAATATTTGGTAATATTGTTCTGTGATTAGCAACATTAGCCGTCATGCCATAATAAAAGAAGAAGAAATTTATTTTGATTGAAAAAGAGGCAATAAATAGAGTAATCAAATTGTTATTTTTAAAGTTATCGAATCTATTGTGTATTTTTTATTTAAGCAGCTTGTTTATACCACAAAATGTTTCGTTCTGATGCAAATATAAAACTAAATGATGACATCATTCTTGATATCGACTTGATAACACTAGATATTATCCCGTACATTGAAAAAGAAATAGATCCTTGTGACTTAATATCAATCGTATTTCTTCTTTATGATACACCAGACACAGCATTACAGCGACTTACTATATATCAAAGAATTTCAAGGGATCTAAGCAGCGACTCAAATCTGTTACTTGAGTGGGCTCGACATGCACAAAGTCAGTCTACTTGGAAGAAGAAGTTACTGGAAGCATTATACAGTTGTCAACTTTATTCTATTATTAGAAAAATTGGACTCCATGTGAATGCAGTTAAAAAACACTATATCACTACTAACGAAACTTTACTAAATCCTATGAAGAAAACCTTATACAAATTATGTGAGGCAATGAAAATTGAGGACCTACATAAATTAAAAAAAACCTTAATTACATATGAGATTGATACAACTGACTATGAAACATGTGAATTAATAATATTACATTTGATGTGCCAGAAATTTATCTCTATAAATATGAATAATGGCAAGTTTGACATTAGCATCGAAAATCTAGCAACAATCCTTGATAACTTTAGTGAATTGCAGGGATTTTCTAATGAGATGAGAAAAATTGAATTTAGTTACAACAATATTAATAATCCTATAAAAACAAAACAAACTATCATAGATCCTCCCCAACCACTAATAGCAGATGAAAAATCTTTAAAAGAGAAGGAGTGCTATAAAGATATTAAAGACATATTTGAAATGTTGGATGATTTAAAGTTAGAAGACATACCAGAAGATAATTTTAAATCCGATACCATAACTCTTGGAAACGATGCATACCCAATATTAAATCCTAAAGCTCTCGGAATATGCCTTATAATAAATCAAGAAAAATTTTATCCATCTAAGCAAAGTATTGAAAGTATCGGACAAGCTATACTGTTAGAAAATCGGCATGGTTCAACAAAAGATAAAATTAACTTATCAGAAACTATGAAAAAACTCAACTTTGAAGTTGTGTCTCATGACAATCTTAATCATATAGAAATGCTGAATTGCATTAAATCTGTACTTCGAACAAAAGTTAGCAAGGAACATAGCATGTTCATGTTGTGTATTCTCTCTCATGGCACAAAAGGAAATGTATATGCTGCTGATTCTGTAAAAATAAAAGTTGAAGATATTGAAAGTTTACTTGATTCAGATGATGTTGTGCACCTACGAAATAAGCCAAAAATAATGATCTTACAAGCTTGCCAAACAAATGATGACCAACCATCATACTCTCCCTTAGTGGCTGATAGTCCTAAATCAAGTTTTAAATACTACATAAAAAAATCTGATATATTAATATACTGGGCTACTGCACCTAGTTATGAAGCTTACAGACATGTGACAATGGGCTCTATATTCATACAAATGTTATGTGCTGCAATCAAAAAGTACGCAAAGAAAGAACATCTTAATGATTTGTTTACAAAAGTAAATTATGTTGTGCGAAAAATGTGTGTTACTTTAAAACGCGATCAGTTACCCAAAGTAGAGCATACACTTATAAAAAAATTGTATCTTCAAATACCTGAAAAATAAACAGGAAAGCTGTTAAAACATTAGCATTGATAATTGATTTGTATCCTATAACTTGTGCTGATAAAAGAGTGTCAAGACTGAGGAGAGAGTCGGGAGTAGGTGCTTCTATATTTTGATAATTTTATTTTATAGTTTCTTTGACATAAAAAAAATACTTGTTACTTTCAATTTAGTTTTTGTATCTTGAAATTTTTAACTTTTTTTAATACCTAATTCATATTAAAAAAAACTTAAAAATTAAGGGGTAAATAAAAATTTGTTTTTAAATGATTTTATAAGGCTTGAATGTCTTTTTTCAAGGTTATTTATTATTAAGTAATTTATGTTCTTTATAATATAAGTAATATTTAATGTAATTTTATAATAGTTCTTCTGATTTTTTTAATTAGATATAACAGGTTACTTCTGTTACATGTAAGTAATTTGTAATTAGTTATTATCCACAGGAACTCTGCAGACAAACTAGTGTAATAGTTTGGTAGATATTTCATTTATAATCGATGTGATACAGATAGAAAATCAATAAAAAAAATAATGTCTATTACACACACATCATTTCACATCTTGTTGAGGAAGTAACAACAGGATATTAGCAATAAACACTGGTATTCATAGGTATATTTATTCATTTCATAGTTAATTAAATGTGCAATAAACATCCAGCATTTATTATTTCTCTTTGCATCCCACGCCCTCCTATTATTAAACCAATCCATAATAATATTATAAATGCGAGTGGAACTGTCCGTTATGCAACACGCTACAATCGCTGAACAGATTTTGAGAAAGTTTCGTAATTTGGTGTTTCAGTTCTGCGAAAAGACAGGATAGTTTTTATCAGTCAATTAAGCTATGGGTGCGGCCAGAGTGCACTCAGATTCAGATTCAGATTTCGAAAACAAGCGCGAGAAATAAACAGTGTAGTCGAAGGGTACGGCCAGATTGCACTCCTGATTCAGATTCAGACTCAGAAAACAAAGCGCGAGAAAAATCAAGCAACCTGCTTAGACTACACTGTTTATTTCTCGCGCTTGTTTTCGAAATCTGAATCTGAGTGCACTCTGGCCGCACCCTATGAGTAGTATATAAGGGTACGGCCAGAATGCACTCAGATTCAAACTCAGAAAACAAGCGCGAGAAATAAACAGTGTAGTCTTAAGGGTACGGCCACAGTGCACTCAGATTCAGAATCAGACTCAGAAAACAAGCGCGAGAAATATACAGTGTAGTTTAAGCAGGTTGCCAGCTGCCACTATGGCCACCCTGCTTTAACTACACTGTTTATTTCTCGCGCTTGTTTTCGGAATCTGAATCTGAGTGCACTCTGGCAGTTTGCCTGCTTTTTCTCGCGCTTTGTTTTCTGAGTCTGAATCTGAATCTGAATCAGGAGTGCACTCTGGCCGTACCCTTCGACTACACTGTTTATTTCTCTTGTTTTCGGAATCTGAATCTGAGTGCACTCTGGCCGCACCCTGAGTCTGAATCTGAATCTGAGTCCCAAAACTGCCACATGGAGGGAAATTTAAACTACCTTAAATAGAAAGTTATTTTAAAATTTGAATGCGATGCGAACTGCATTCAAAAATCGCTTAACTTAACCGAAAATTGAACAACGTCAAAAAAGAATTACTTCTAATTTTATAACATTAGAAATCTTAATTTCATAGCCACCCATTACTTATAGTTAATACATAGTCTAAAATAAATAATAAATAGTTTTTAACGCACACCAAATAAGTAGCCTTTGAGTATATGTTTAAAGCAATCATTGTGCAAGTAATGTAGGTACCTAAGCAATTAGCCTAGCCCCAATGCAAGGCTTGTGTACGGTATAGGTACTAGTGCAACGGATAGAATACCTATATTCAATGATATATCTCGATCTCCGTGGCCGAGTGGTTTGTACGCCGGGTTTCATGGTGTCGCCGACTCGAGAGGTCCCGGGTTCGAATCCCGGTGGGGGCAGATGTTTGTGTGATGAATACGTGCATTTGTACTCCAGTCGTGGATGTTTAATATGTATTTTCTATATAAATATACTTATATATGTACAGTATATGTATTCTATCCGTTACCCTAGCATCCCATAAAATTCTGGCGTGCCAACTTATATCTAAAACTAACTAAAATTAATATTTTTTTATTTTTTAAGTAGGTACGTTTAATTAAATCTAAAGAAAATATAACTGTAAAAAATCTACGCGGACCAACGGAATCCAGCAAACGGGACTCGAACGAACGAACGTCGGAAAGTCTGTTATTGGTGCGACCTCAGACCGAATAAAAAGTAAAGACGGAGTCTGCCGAACAAAAAAGTGAAGGCGGTTTTTTATGTATGTAGTGCATTAGCCAGTGTTACCATAGTCATTTAAAATACCCCAATATTAGAAAACTGTAATAACGTTATTTCATAACGTTTCCTAACGTTATTTCATAACGTTATTAATAACGGTATAAAATATTAGAAAAAACTATCGTAGGCTTATTCTCTAAACTAGTCCAGATTAGTTTTACACTAGCGCTAGATCCAACCTCTCGTGAGCCAAAAGTCCTGCGCTTGGAGATCTGGGGTTCCTGTGATTTATAAGTTTAATAACTGTTACACGAATAAAAGTTTAGTTAAAATATATATAATAAATACAAAGCTTAACCTTTGTAGTTTTTGGCGGGATTTCATGGAGTGCGGTTAGCGTCATATTTTAATTATTCTTTAATTCGTTCATAGTGAATATTGTGAAATAAAATTAGTGTAATTTTGTGTTTCAACCGTCTGCACGACTGAAGAATTATTGGAATCTTTAAAATATAAATACCCTTGAATATGCATTTTATTTTACACGACGTAACCCTTTTGCTGTGTAGTACAAATCGTCGCTCTGAAAATGAGACGAACAAACCACGCTGCGGGAAGCTGGTTGCCACAATGGTTCATTTCTACTCTTACGAATGACTGCAATCCACTTCTCTTTTGGATTTTGATCTCGATTAGGATATCGTAAAAAAAACGTATAATGTATAATGTGTATTACATCCCAAAAAATTGATACAAATACATAAAGAAAAAAGATAATAAAGATGTTTCGTGTAATTGTTTATCCATGCATTACAATATTCAAATAATATAAAAGTATGCTACACAATGTATTTAATAAAATAACGTTACGTTATATTTCACGCTAGGTACCCAACAAAAGGGTAAAACTGTAACGTATAATCATGGCAGCATTTCGTTCAGGTTTTGTTTACAAAGCGACAACCTCAAATTTGATTTTGATTAATTGCAAATATTAGTTTATAACTTTACTTACGTATGAAATGTGATTCCATCCTGTTTTTTATTCTTGGAAGATTGGTTTCTACACGTTTTCACTACACAATTCGGCATTTTCTCTAATAAATATTGTTTTCTATTATTACGTCACACTCCGCGCGCCGGGATAGCTCGACTGGAAAGCCAAGGCGTAGTTTCGTTGCATGAGTGTGCGTGTAACTGTGTATGTACACGGCGAGGCGTAGTTTTATCGGCTTCACTTTTTTGTTCGGCAGACTCCGTCTTTACTTTTTATTTGGTCTGAGGGTGCGACTTTATAGCTCCCCCGTATGTATTCGTTCCGAACTCTGTCCATCCGATACGTGCCTTTCTACGAGCTCGAGAACCAACGGAACATAACGAAAGCTAAGTAGTAGAATAGTTGACATAAATGATAGCCTGTTTGCATCGCATGAAAATTTTGTATGTGTGAAAATAAGCGCTTACCTGAGCACTTGATATTAACCTATGTACCTGTGTATACCAGCACAGTAAATGGATGAATCACACACGGCGAAAGGGCCTTGACATAATTATAACAAAATAAATGTACGGCACGCCCCTTTATTCTCATTTGTTCGATTCATTATTTCGATCGTCGAACTAGTGAGATTTTTATCTCTCATTAGTTCGATAGTCGAACTACTGAGATTTTATTGTTCTCATTTGTTCGACCGTCGTCGAACTTATTTTCTTTATTTCATTTTCCATCCATTTTCATTTTCAGAACCTCTTAGTTATGTATGGTTTCCTGGGACTTTTTTCTAAATAGGTAGTGATTTTTATAAATGTTTATGGATGCAATATTGACGAAGGTCGAACAAATGAGAACAATAAAATCTCAGTAGTTCGACGATCGAACTAATGAGAAAAAAAAATCTCACTAGTTCGACGATCGAACTAATGAATCGAACAAATGAGAATAAAGGCGTCTAACAAGGCGTACGTTGGCGTCTCCCCGCCAGGCCCAATGATTATAACGGGCACAACTTTTAATAAAATTTTACTAGTCATACGACCTCTCTCATTTACTAAAAAGGATAGAGAATTTGTTTTGTCGTTGTCAATTACACTGGCCGGAGAATTTTTCTCTATGCAGCTGCCGGGACGTACACTGTCATTATTGACAAGTGACATGTTTGACATACGAGTATTTACACTATTTACATTTTGTGTTTGTGAATTATTTACATCGATGTCTTTATGGAATAGTGAATGATGATTCTGGCTACATATATTACATTTTATTCTGCAAGATCGCCAGCTATGTTTGCGCTTACGGAAACATTTGTTACATACTTTTGCCTGGCGAACCCACGACCATCGATCATCAATTGACAGAGCGGCGAACTTCGGACACATCTTTATGCTGTGGTCGGACAAACAATATAGGCAACTAATGTTGGAAACAGAAGTTACGCTGTTGTGGACTCGATGTGCTGCAGCCGTCTGCGCTTTCGGCCTCTCTGGATACGTTGCAGTATTAGCGCTTAGAGAAGCATACCGAGGCATATAACGCGCCTGCTTGCTCGCCTCTGTGTGAAGAAATTGAGCTAAAATTTCCAGAGATGGCTTTCCAGAATAACTATTTGTTGCCGCATAGTCACACCACTTTGTCTGTAAATAAAAGTTTAGCTTAGACAAAATACTGTTTGTTATTTCTGGCGAGTATGTATATTCGTGTCTACCTAATAACT